GTTGTGCTGCTCCATGATTGGCTCCAGCCTCTGTTGTGCTGCTCCATGATTGGCTCCAGCCTCTGTTGTGCTGCTCCATGATTGGCTCCAGCCTGCTGGACTGAAATTGCCCCAGTGTGCCCCTCCTTGATATCCCGCAACCCACCACCAGGGTTCCGACACATAACACACTTTTTTCAGGAAAGTAAACCTCCAGGGGTCCTTTCCATATTTTTACAGAGACTGCATAAGGACCGTTAGAAAAGCATTACCCATTGATTATTAAGCTTGGACCAGTGGGGTCCGGTGTTCGGGCCCCACCACGTAAAACCAGTCCCCATGACGTGAGTGGAATCTCAGGTTATGGAACCCACCAGGAGTTGAAAACAAGTGCACACACACACACACACACAGACACACACACAGACACACACAGACACACACACACACACACACACAGACACACACACAGACACACACTCACATATGACAGAGATGTAGACACTTCTGGTCTGGGTCTTGGTCTCATGGACTCCTTCACACGTGTACAGTCCAGACTGGGCCTGGGTCAGACTGTGGAGGACCAGAGACGCTGATCCCAGGTCAGGGTCAGACCGGTTCAGACTGGTTCCGTTGGGTCCAAACCAGCGCAGCTGAGAGGGAGGGAAGCTGTCCAGTCTGCAGGACACATTCACAGTCTGTCCGCCCAGGGCAGATGTGGCTCCGACAACCTCCAGCTCCTTCACATCTGAGAAAGTCAATATTCATGCTATACATGGTGCTACAGGAGAGCTACCATGGTGCTACAGGAGAGCTACCATGGTGCTACAGGAGAGCTACCATGATGCTACAGGAGAGCTACCATGGTGATACAGGAGAGCTACCATGGTGCTACAGGAGAGCTACCACGGTGATACAGGAGAGCTACCATGGTGCTACAGGAGAGCTACCACGGTGCTACAGGAGAGCTACCACGGTGATACAGGAGAGCTACCATGGTGCTACAGGAGAGCGACCGTGGTGCTACAGGAGAGCTACCACGGTGCTACAGGAGAGCTACCATGGTGCTACAGGAGAGCTACCATGGTGCTACAGGAGAGCTACCACGGTGATACAGGAGAGCTACCATGGTGCTACAGGAGAGCTACCATGGTGCTACAGGAGAGCTACCACGGTGATACAGGAGAGCTACCATGGTGCTACAGGAGAGCTACCACAGTGATACAGGAGAGCTACCATGGTGCTACAGGAGAGCTACCATGGTGCTACAGGAGAGCTACCACGGTGCTACAGGAGAGCTACCACGGTGCTACAGGAGAGCTACCATGGTGCTACAGGAGAGCGACCGTGGTGCTACAGGAGAGCGACCGTTGTGCTACAGGAGAGCTACCGTGGTGCTACAGGAGAGCTACCGTGGTGCTACAGGAGAGCTACCGTGGTGCTACAGGAGTGCTACCATGGTGCTACAGGAGAGCTACCATGGTGCTACAGGAGAGCTACCACGGTACTACAAGAGAGCGACCATGGTGCTACAGGAGAGCTACCGTGGTGCTACAGGAGAGCTACTGTGGTGCTACAAGAGCGCTACCATGGTGCTACAGGAGAGCGACCATGGCGCTACAGGAGTGCTACCATGGTGCTACAGGGGAGCTACCATGGTGCTACAGGAGAGCTACCATGGTGCTACCATGGTGCTACAGGAGAGCGACCATGGTGCTACAGGAGAGCTACTGTGGTGCTACAGGAGAGCTACTGTGGTGCTACAAGAGAGCTACCATGGTGCTACATGAGAGCTACTATGGTGCTACAGGAGAGCTACTGTGGTGCTACAAGAGAGCTACCATGGTGCTACAGGAGAGCTACTATGGTGCTACAGGAGTGCTACCATGGCGCTACAGGAGAGCTACTGTGGCGCTACAGGAGAGCTATCGTGGCGCTACAGGAGAGCTACCATGGTGCTACAGGAGAGCTACCATGGTTCTACAGGAGAGCTACCATGGTGCTACAGGAGAGCGACCATGGTGCTACAGGAGAGCAACCATGGTGCTACAGGAGAGCTACCATGGTGCTACAGGAGAGCTACCATGGTGCTACAGGAGAGCTACCATGGTGCTACAGGAGAGCTACCATGGTGCTACAGGAGAGCGACCATGGTGCTACAGGAGAGCTACCATGGTGCTACAGGAGAGCGACCATGGTGCTACATGGTGCTACAGGAGAGCTACCATGGTGCTACAGGAGAGCTACCATGGTGCTACAGGACGTTTGAGTCCAAACAGATGAAGCTGTAGATCCTGTTGTGTCCCAATCAAACGTCTCTACTTCATTACAACATGAGGCTTAAAACCAGGTGCGGCTTATATGTGACAATATGGATTTTCTTTTCAAATGTAGAGGTGAGGTTTATAACCAGGTAAGGCTTATATGTGACAGTATTGATTTTCTTTTCAAATCTAGGGGTGAGGTTTATAACCAGGTGCGGCTTATACAGTTGGCCAATCATGAGCAGCTGTGACTCACATGTGACGTTGAGAGTCAGCGTGTCGTGTGTCGTCTGATTGGTCTGAAAAGCGACTGAACACGTGAGTTCTGCTCCGTGAAGCTCCGCTGAAGGAGTCAGCTGCAGAATGGAGCTGTGATTGACAGCCTGTGTGGTTGTCGTGGTGACGGGGGGCGGGTCCTTCCCTCCTGCTCCTCTCCAGCTCCATGTGATGATGGGCTCAGATCCAGAGCAGAGTCCAGGAGCCGAGCAGGAGACCGAGGCCAAGTGTCCGTCTGAGAGAGGAGGGGCCTGCAGGGAGGGCCTCTGCTGGAGAGCTAACACACACATATATTTATATACATACACATGTATACGCACATACACACACACACACATACATATACAAATACACACACATACACACTTATATAGTGCATTGTGGGGACTCACGTGTTACAGAGAGCTCTGTTTTACGGCTGAATGTGAATCCATCTCTGTCACTATTGACTCGGAGCTGATAGGATCCTGAGTCTGAGAGACGCAGGTCGTTGATGACGATGCTGCAGTTTCTGTGGCTCAGATCTGGATCCAGCAGCGACACTCGTCCTGAGAAACTGGACTGAACCTTCTCTGAGTTTCTGGAGTGGAATATTTTGTCAGAACATTTGGAGCCTTGACATTTGAACCAGACCAGACTCGAGGGGTTTAAAGGGGTATAGAAAGCACAGGGAAGGACCGCACAGAGTCCAGCCTCCGCCGTCACGACACCTTCACTGAGCCTGAGACAGTAATTTCTCAGTTGACACGTCCATGCTGACTCTATTACACCTAAGAAATGAGTGAAAAGGTGTGAAATGCTGTATATGTTTGTGAAAACCCTCCTGGAGCTGAATCGTACCTCCTTCAACATTATCCGAGCAGAGCCGAAGCATAAAGACCAACATGAGGAGAAGCATCTTCTTCAACTGTCGGAACAAAAAGATTCAATGGATTTCTCTGCTTTGGATTTGAACAATCAATGAAGAGAGGATCATTTTGGCACAAATTACTTTTGTTCAACAACAAAGCTTTAAAGAGCGATTGTGTGTGTGTGTGTGTGTGTGTGTGTGTGTGTGTGTGTGTGTGTGTGTGCGTGCGTGTGTGTACATGTGTGTGTGTGTGTGCATGTGTGTGTGTGTACATGTGTGCGTGCGTGTGTGTGTCTGTGCATGTGTGTATGCGTGAGGAGGGAGAAGGGAGAGAGGCAAGGCAAGTTTATTTGTATAGCACAAATCATACACAAGGCAACTCAAAGTGCTGAACAAAACAAGAAAGCATCAAAATCATAAATAAATCACAGAAATCACAATATTCGCATAAATAGTTGTGCGATACAAATAAACAATACTTGTATTTCTCACATGTGAAGCTGCATCATTCACCTTTAAATATGATATAAAATAATAATAAAGTCTTTCAAACCCTGTGTCTGCGGCTGATCTTGAAGCTTTGTAACCACTTCTGAACAAACTTCTCTTTTCTCCAACTTCTGCTTTTGAAGTCAGTTTCATAAACACATGTTAGTCATCACACTGTTCAAACACGGACATTTACAAGAAGTGACCAAATAAGAAAGTTCCTATGTCTGCATAGGTTTCCTCCACGTGCTCTAGGTTCCCCTAACCCTTTAAACAGGTACAATAGGTCTGACAGCGCCCCCTGCAGGCGCCTGCTCCATCTCAGTGCTTTGTGACTGTCACCTTTAAACAGAAATAAACGACAAATGTTCAGTTTTTTTGGGCGTGTTTTATTTTCAACAGAAGAAAAGTAAAGATGAGTTTTTGTGGCAAAGAGCATTTTTAAACAAACTTCAGCAGAAGTGTCTCTGATACAAACGATCTTTGATCCTTACAAACATTAAAAGAAATCTGGATCCAAAATATTAAGTCTGGACACATTTTCTCATTAATACAGATTATCGACACGTTAAGATATTAGTGAATGTGGTTTATACTGACATTAGAGCAGGGGTCTCCAACCTGTAGCTTCCAGTAGCTCGCCAGACCGGTAGCTCCCCAAAGGATGCACTGAGTCTGATATAAGAATAAGGCTTTTACAGGATTATGTGTGGTCGTAAGTAAGTATTAAAGATTTTGTATTACGACTACAAAGAAGAGTAGCTCTCTGTCTCTTTTGGTGCATAAAAGTAGCTCTCCGATTGAAGAAGGTTGGAGAGCTCTGCCTTTGAGCTGTCTGAGCTATTACATCAAAGAAAACAGATAAAAACAGATCCACAACACATTGTTTCACAAAAAAACCTGTGTAACGTTTTGGATCTTCTCTGGAGTCAATGTGGGCGGAGCTTTGAACATATCTTATTATATTATTAACAAATTAATACCATGTGACACCAAATAAATACCATGTGACATCAACAGCAGTGCATATAGTTACTTCAAACAGACGCAGTCATGTTTATGTCTTTGATGCAACCGCACTTTCTGGACGATAAGACAGTCTTTTTAGGCCGCACCTGAATATAAGCCTCATGTTGTAATGAAGCAAAGGTTCATTAAGGTTCATTAAGTTATGTTTAAGGCTTAGAACAGGTTTGTCAAGCTCAGGCCCGTGGGCCAAATCCGGCCCGCGAGACCATTGTCAGTGGCCCCCTTCGTATATATATATCCATCCATCCATTTTCTACCCTTTAATCCATTTCTGGGTCAGGGTATATATATATATATATATATATATATATATATATATATATAATTATATATATATAATATATATATATATATATACGAATAAAAAAAGAATAAGAAGGATTTTTAAAAGTAGCGGCTCAAAGTCCAGAAATCACGGTATTTTGTTTTTTCAAAGCTGCTGTGCCTCCTGTGGACTCACCACCTGCAGAGGGTCAGTGAGGGGCTGGTGCTATGAGACTTGGGTGGCATCTCTGACTGCCACCCCCCTGACCCAGAAATGGATTAAAGGGTAGAACATGGATGGATGGATGGAAGCTGCTGTGATCCTGTTTCGTGCCAACTTCGCAGGATCCAAATAAAAATACTTTTTCAATGTTCTTTAATTTGATTTAACAAACTGTTAGTTTGGTTTATTATGAAAGTCACAGCACATTTAAATATATGCACAAGAGAGAGCTCTCTGTGCCACGGACCTTCCCTGACCCTCCGGCTAAAGACACACACACAGGCACACACACACAGGCACACACAGGCACACACACACAGGCACAGGCACACACACACACGCACACACACACACACACACACAGTTTTAGAGCCACGTGAAGGACAGTAGTGAGGCTAGTGTTACTCAGGTGTGTGTTTAGTGTTACTCAGGTGTGTGTTTAGTGTTACTCAGGTGTGTGTTTAGTGTTACTCAGGTGTACTCATTACCAGATAATGTGGTGTAGAGTTTTGCCTAAGGACAACAACAGCACCCCTCTGTGGCACCTGGTGGTACTGCAGTCTGAGTGGATATGGCCCTATAACAGCTGACCAAGCTAGCATTAAGGCTAACACTATGGTGTGGTCAGCTCCTCCTGATACACAGTCTGAGGATAAGAAGACTGTCCATGTAGAGACTGGAGACTTCGTTAGGGAAACTTGAAGGACAACGTTTTCTAATTCCCACCTTTAAAAAAACACATACAAAACAAAATAAAAACAGTTTTGGAACATTGCTTTCTGGTCCCTTTGGAGTAAGACCGGACAGGATTTGACCTTTTTACATTGTCCTTCTACTTGTGAGTCCAGAGGGAAGACGCAGCAGCAGAGATGAAACCTGAATAGAGTCGGATAGAGTAGGATAGAGTAGGGTAGAGTAGAGTAGGGTAGAGCAGAGCGGAGCGGGGCGGGGCGGGGTGGAGTGGAGTGGAATAGGGTAGGGTAGGGCAGGGCAGAGCAGAGTAGGGCCGGGCAGGGTAGGGCCGGGCAGAGTAGGGCCGGGCAGGGTAGGGCCGGGCAGGGTAGGGCCGGGCAGGGTAGGGCCGGGCAGGGTAGGGCCGGGCAGGGTAGAGTGCTGGGTCCTGTGGCTGCGTCTTGAGGCTGAAGGATCAGGGAAGGATTGCCAGTCATTTGGTTCTTATTTCTGTGTAGGTGCTGCCGTCATCGCCCCGGCCGGCCCCGCCCTCTCCGCGGCTGGCCCCGCCCTCTCCGCGGCTGGCCCCGCCCTCGCCTTGGGACCGGCCCCTGACGAACTCCAGCGAGGCATAGTTCAGCTCCTGCCTCTCCACTGCTCCCACGCGGCCCACAGACTGGAAATCGCCGTCTTCTCCCTGCGACCACAGACGAGAGAGTCAGCGGCAGTCAGAGGGCGATGGAGTCAGAGGGCGATGGAGTCAGAGGGCGATGGAGTCAGAGGGCGATGGAGTCAGAGGGCGATGGAGTCAGAGGGCGATGGAGTCAGAGGGCGATGGAGTCAGAGGGCGATGGAGTCAGAGGGTGGAGTCAGAGGGTGATGGAGTCAGAGGGTGATGGAGTCAGAGGGCGACGGAGTCAGAGGGTGGAGTCAGAGGGTGATGGAGTGAGGGTGATGGAGTCAGAGGGCGATGGAGTCAGAGGGTGATGGAGTCAGAGGGTGATGGAGTCAGAGGGTGATGGAGTCAGAGGGTGATGGAGTCAGAGGGCGATGGAGTCAGAGGGCGATGGAGTCAGAGGGCGATGGAGTCAGAGGGCGATGGAGTCAGAGGGCGATGGAGTCAGAGGGTGATGGAGTCAGAGGGTGATGGAGTCAGAGGGCGATGGAGTCAGAGGGTGATGGAGTCAGAGGGTGATGGAGTCAGAGGGTGATGGAGTCAGAGGGCGATGGAGTCAGAGGGCGATGGAGTCAGAGGGCGATGGAGTCAGAGGGTGATGGTGTCAGAGGGTGATGGAGTCAGAGGGTGGTGGAGTCAGAGGGTGATGGAGTCAGAGGGCGACGGTGTCAGAAAGTGATGGAGTCAGAGGGCGATGGAGTCAGAGGGTGGAGTCAGAGGGTGATGGAGTCAGAGGGCGATGGAGTCAGAGGGTGGAGTCAGAGGGTGATGGAGTCAGAGGGTGATGGAGTCAGAGGGCGACGGAGTCAGAGGGCGATGGAGTCAGAGGGTGATGGAGTCAGAGGGTGATGGAGTCAGAGGGCGATGGAGTCAGAGGGTGATGGAGTCAGAGGGTGATGGAGTCAGAGGGTGATGGAGTCAGAGGGCGATGGAGTCAGAGGGCGATGGAGTCAGAGGGTGATGGTGTCAGAGGGTGATGGAGTCAGAGGGTGGTGGAGTCAGAGGGTGATGGAGTCAGAGGGCGACGGTGTCAGAAAGTGATGGAGTCAGAGGGCGATGGAGTCAGAGGGTGGAGTCAGAGGGCGATGGAGTCAGAGGGTGGAGTCAGAGGGTGATGGAGTCAGAGGGTGGAGTCAGAGGGTGATGGAGTCAGAGGGCGATGGAGTCAGAGGGTGATGGAGTCAGAGGGTGGTGGAGTCAGAGGGTGATGGAGTCAGAGGGCGACGGTGTCAGAAGGTGATGGAGTCAGAGGGCAATGGAGTCAGAGGGTGATGGAGTCAGAGGGTGATGGAGTCAGAGGGTGATGGAGTCAGAGGGTGATGGTGTCAGAGGGCGATGGAGTCAGAGGGTGATGGAGTCAGAGGGTGATGGAGTCAGAGGGCGATAGAGTCAGAGGGTGATGGAGTCAGAGGGTGATGGAGTCAGAGGGCGATGGTGTCAGAGGGCGATGGAGTCAGAGGGCGATGGAGTCAGAGGGCGATGGTGTCAGAGGGCGATGGAGTCAGAGGGCGATGGTGTCAGAGGGCGATGGAGTCAGAGGGCGATGGAGTCAGAGGGCGATGGAGTCAGAGGGCGATGGTGTCAGAGGGCGATGGAGTCAGAGGGCAATGGAGTCAGAGGGCGATGGAGTCAGAGGGCGATGGAGTCAGAGGGCGATGGAGTCAGAGGGCGATGGTGTCAGAGGGTGATGGAGTCAGAGGGCGATGGTGTCAGAGGGCGATGGAGTCAGAGGGCGATGGAGTCAGAGGGCGAGTCAGAGGGCGATGGTGTCAGAGGGCGATGGAGTCAGAGGGCGATGGAGTCAGAGGGCGATGGAGTCAGAGGGCGATGGAGTCAGAGGGCGATGGAGTCAGAGGGCGATGGAGTCAGAGGGCGATAGGGCGATGGAGTCAGAGGGCGATGGAGTCAGAGGGCGATGGAGTCAGAGGGCGATGGAGTCAGAGGGCGATGGAGTCAGAGGGCGATGGTGTCAGAGGGCGATGGAGTCAGAGGGCGATGGAGTCAGAGGGCGATGGAGTCAGAGGGCGATGGAGTCAGAGGGCGATGGTGTCAGAGGGCGATGGAGTCAGAGGGCGATGGTGTCAGAGGGCGATGGAGTCAGAGGGCGATGGAGTCAGAGGGCGATGGTGTCAGAGGGCGATGGAGTCAGAGGGCGATGGAGTCAGAGGGCGATGGAGTCAGAGGGCGATGGAGTCAGAGGGCGATGGAGTCAGAGGGCGATGGTGTCAGAGGGCGATGGAGTCAGAGGGCGATGGAGTCAGAGGGCGATGGAGTAATAGGGCGATGGAGTCAGAGGGCGATGGAGTCAGAGGGCGATGGAGTCAGAGGGCGATGGAGTCAGGGGCGATGGAGTCAGAGGGCGATGGTGTCAGAGGGCGATGGAGTCAGAGGGCGATGGAGTCAGAGGGCGATGGAGTAATAGGGCGATGGAGTCAGAGGGCGATGGTGTCAGAGGGCGATGGAGTCAGAGGGCGATGGAGTCAGAGGGCGAGTCAGAGGGCGATGGTGTCAGAGGGCGATGGAGTCAGAGGGCAATGGAGTCAGAGGGCGATGGAGTCAGAGGGTGATGGAGTCAGAGGGTGATGGAGTCAGAGGGCGATGGAGTCAGAGGGTGATGGAGTCAGAGGGCGATGGAGTCAGAGGGCGATGGAGTCAGAGGGCGATGGTGTCAGAGGGTGATGGAGTCAGAGGGTGGTGGAGTCAGAGGGTGATGGAGTCAGAGGGCGACGGTGTCAGAAGGTGATGGAGTCAGAGGGCGATGGAGTCAGAGGGTGGAGTCAGAGGGTGGTGGAGTCAGAGGGTGATGGAGTCAGAGGGCGATGGAGTCAGAGGGTGGAGTCAGAGGGTGATGGAGTCAGAGGGCGACGGTGTCAGAAGGTGATGGAGTCAGAGGGCGATGGAGTCAGAGGGTGATGGAGTCAGAGGGCGATGGAGTCAGAGGGTGATGGTGTCAGAGGGCGATGGAGTCAGAGGGTGATGGAGTCAGAGGGTGATGGAGTCTGAGGGCGATGGTGTCAGAGGGCGATGGAGTCAGAGGGCGATGGAGTCAGAGGGCGATGGTGTCAGAGGGCGATGGAGTCAGAGGGCGATGTGTCAGAGGGCGATGGAGTCAGAGGGCGATGGGGTCAGAGGGCGATGGTGTCAGAGGGCGATGGTGTCAGAGGGCGATGGAGTCAGAGGGCGATGGAGTCAGAGGGCGATGGAGTCAGAGGGCGATGGAGTCAGAGGGCGATGGAGTCAGAGGGTGGAGTCAGAGGGTGATGGAGTCAGAGGGCGACGGTGTCAGAAGGTGATGGAGTCAGAGGGCGATGGAGTCAGAGGGTGATGGAGTCAGAGGGCGATGGAGTCAGAGGGTGATGGTGTCAGAGGGCGATGGAGTCAGAGGGTGATGGAGTCAGAGGGTGATGGAGTCAGAGGGCGATGGTGTCAGAGGGCGATGGAGTCAGAGGGCGATGGAGTCAGAGGGCGATGGTGTCAGAGGGCGATGGAGTCAGAGGGCGATGTGTCAGAGGGCGATGGAGTCAGAGGGCGATGGAGTCAGAGGGCGATGGTGTCAGAGGGCGATGGTGTCAGAGGGCGATGGAGTCAGAGGGCGATGGAGTCAGAGGGCGATGGAGTCAGAGGGCGATGGAGTCAGAGGGCGATGGAGTCAGAGGGCGATGGAGTCAGAGGGCGATGGAGTCAGAGGGCGATGGAGTCAGAGGGCGATAGTGTCAGAGGGCGATGGAGTCAGAGGGTGATGGTGTCAGAGGGCGATGGAGTCAGAGGGCGATGGAGTCAGAGGGTGATGGTGTCAGAGGGTGATGGAGTCAGAGGGTGGTGGAGTCAGAGGGTGATGGAGTCAGAGGGCGACGGTGTCAGAAAGTGATGGAGTCAGAGGGCGATGGAGTCAGAGGGTGGAGTCAGAGGGTGGTGGAGTCAGAGGGTGATGGAGTCAGAGGGCGATGGAGTCAGAGGGTGGAGTCAGAGGGTGATGGAGTCAGAGGGTGGGGTCAGAGGGTGATGGAGTCAGAGGGCGACGGTGTCAGAAGGTGATGGAGTCAGAGGGCGATGGAGTCAGAGGGTGATGGAGTCAGAGGGTGGTGGAGTCAGAGGGTGGTGGAGTCAGAGGGTGATGGTGTCAGAGGGTGATGGAGTCAGAGGGCGACGGTGTCAGAAGGCAATGGAGTCAGAGGGTGATGGAGTCAGAGGGTGATGGAGTCAGAGGGTGATGGAGTCAGAGGGTGATGGTGTCAGAGGGCGATGGAGTCAGAGGGAGATGGAGTCAGAGGGTGATGGAGTCAGAGGGCGATGGTGTCAGAGGGCGATGGAGTCAGAGGGCGATGGAGTCAGAGGGCGATGGAGTCAGAGGGTGATGGAGTCAGAGGGTGATGGAGTCAGAGGGTGATGGTGTCAGAGGGCGATGGAGTCAGAGGGTGATGGAGTCAGAGGGTGATGGAGTCAGAGGGCGATAGAGTCAGAGGGTGATGGAGTCAGAGGGTGATGGAGTCAGAGGGCGATGGTGTCAGAGGGCGATGGAGTCAGAGGGCGATGGAGTCAGAGGGCGATGGTGTCAGAGGGCGATGGAGTCAGAGGGCGATGGTGTCAGAGGGCGATGGAGTCAGAGGGCGATGGAGTCAGAGGGCGATGGAGTCAGAGGGCGATGGTGTCAGAGGGCGATGGAGTCAGAGGGCGATGGAGTCAGAGGGCGATGGAGTCAGAGGGCGATGGAGTCAGAGGGCGATGGAGTCAGAGGGCGATGGTGTCAGAGGGTGATGGAGTCAGAGGGCGATGGTGTCAGAGGGCGATGGAGTCAGAGGGCGATGGAGTCAGAGGGCGAGTCAGAGGGCGATGGTGTCAGAGGGCGATGGAGTCAGAGGGCGATGGAGTCAGAGGGCGATGGAGTCAGAGGGCGATGGAGTCAGAGGGCGATGGAGTCAGAGGGCGATGGAGTCAGAGGGCGATAGGGCGATGGAGTCAGAGGGCGATGGAGTCAGAGGGCGATGGAGTCAGAGGGCGATGGAGTCAGAGGGCGATGGAGTCAGAGGGCGATGGTGTCAGAGGGCGATGGAGTCAGAGGGCGATGGAGTCAGAGGGCGATGGAGTCAGAGGGCGATGGAGTCAGAGGGCGATGGTGTCAGAGGGCGATGGAGTCAGAGGGCGATGGTGTCAGAGGGCGATGGAGTCAGAGGGCGATGGAGTCAGAGGGCGATGGTGTCAGAGGGCGATGGAGTCAGAGGGCGATGGAGTCAGAGGGCGATGGAGTCAGAGGGCGATGGAGTCAGAGGGCGATGGAGTCAGAGGGTGATGGAGTCAGAGGGCGACGGTGTCAGAAGGTGATGGAGTCAGAGGGCGATGGAGTCAGAGGGTGATGGAGTCAGAGGGCGATGGAGTCAGAGGGCGATGGTGTCAGAGGGTGATGGAGTCAGAGGGTGGTGGAGTCAGAGGGTGATGGAGTCAGAGGGCGACGGTGTCAGAAGGTGATGGAGTCAGAGGGCGATGGAGTCAGAGGGTGGAGTCAGAGGGTGGTGGAGTCAGAGGGTGATGGAGTCAGAGGGCGATGGAGTCAGAGGGTGGAGTCAGAGGGTGATGGAGTCAGAGGGCGACGGTGTCAGAAGGTGATGGAGTCAGAGGGCGATGGAGTCAGAGGGTGATGGAGTCAGAGGGCGATGGAGTCAGAGGGTGATGGTGTCAGAGGGCGATGGAGTCAGAGGGTGATGGAGTCAGAGGGTGATGGAGTCTGAGGGCGATGGTGTCAGAGGGCGATGGAGTCAGAGGGCGATGGAGTCAGAGGGCGATGGTGTCAGAGGGCGATGGAGTCAGAGGGCGATGTGTCAGAGGGCGATGGAGTCAGAGGGCGATGGGGTCAGAGGGCGATGGTGTCAGAGGGCGATGGTGTCAGAGGGCGATGGAGTCAGAGGGCGATGGAGTCAGAGGGCGATGGAGTCAGAGGGCGATGGAGTCAGAGGGCGATGGAGTCAGAGGGTGATGGAGTCAGAGGGCGACGGTGTCAGAAGGTGATGGAGTCAGAGGGCGATGGAGTCAGAGGGTGATGGAGTCAGAGGGCGATGGAGTCAGAGGGTGATGGTGTCAGAGGGCGATGGAGTCAGAGGGTGATGGAGTCAGAGGGTGATGGAGTCAGAGGGCGATGGTGTCAGAGGGCGATGGAGTCAGAGGGCGATGGAGTCAGAGGGCGATGGTGTCAGAGGGCGATGGAGTCAGAGGGCGATGTGTCAGAGGGCGATGGAGTCAGAGGGCGATGGAGTCAGAGGGCGATGGTGTCAGAGGGCGATGGTGTCAGAGGGCGATGGAGTCAGAGGGCGATGGAGTCAGAGGGCGATGGAGTCAGAGGGCGATGGAGTCAGAGGGCGATGGAGTCAGAGGGCGATGGAGTCAGAGGGCGATGGAGTCAGAGGGCGATAGTGTCAGAGGGCGATGGAGTCAGAGGGTGATGGTGTCAGAGGGCGATGGAGTCAGAGGGCGATGGAGTCAGAGGGCGATGGAGTAATAGGGCGATGGAGTCAGAGGGCGATGGAGTCAGAGGGCGATGGAGTCAGAGGGCGATGGAGTCAGAGGGCGATGGAGTCAGAGGGCGATGTAGTCAGAGGGTGATGGTGTCAGAGGGCGATGGAGTCAGAGGGCGATGGAGTCAGAGGGTGATGGAGTCAGAGGGCGATGGAGTCAGAGGGCGATGGAGTCAGAGGGCGATGGAGTCAGAGGGTGATGGAGTCAGAGGGCGATGGAGTAATAGGGCGATGGTGTCAGAGGGCGATGGTGTCAGAGGGCGATGGAGTCAGAGGGCGATGGAGTCAGAGGGCGAGTCAGAGGGCGAGTCAGAGGGCGATGGTGTCAGAGGGCGATGGAGTCAGAGGGCAATGGAGTCAGAGGGCGATGGAGTCAGAGGGTGATGGAGTCAGAGGGTGATGGAGTCAGAGGGCGATGGAGTCAGAGGGTGATGGAGTCAGAGGGCGATGGAGTCAGAGGGCGATGGAGTCAGAGGGCGATGGAGTCAGAGGGTGATGGAGTCAGAGGGTGGTGGAGTCAGAGGGTGATGGAGTCAGAGGGCGACGGTGTCAGAAGGTGATGGAGTCAGATGGCGATGGAGTCAGAGGGTGGAGTCAGAGGGTGGTGGAGTCAGAGGGTGATGGAGTCAGAGGGCGATGGAGTCAGAGGGTGGAGTCAGAGGGTGATGGAGTCAGAGGGCGATGGAGTCAGAGGGCGATGGAGTCAGAGGGTGATGGAGTCAGAGGGTGGTGGAGTCAGAGGGTGATGGAGTCAGAGGGCGACGGTGTCAGAAGGTGATGGAGTCAGAGGGCGATGGAGTCAGAGGGTGGAGTCAGAGGGTGGTGGAGTCAGAGGGTGATGGAGTCAGAGGGCGATGGAGTCAGAGGGTGGAGTCAGAGGGTGATGGAGTCAGAGGGCGACGGTGTCAGAAGGTGATGGAGTCAGAGGGCGATGGTGTCAGAGGGCGATGGAGTCAGAGGGCGATGGAGTCAGAGGGCGATGGTGTCAGAGGGCGATGGAGTCAGAGGGCGATGGTGTCAGAGGGCGATGGAGTCAGAGGGCGATGGAGTCAGAGGGCGATGGAGTCAGAGGGCGATGGTGTCAGAGGGTGATGGTGTCAGAGGGTGATGGTGTCAGAGGGCGATGGAGTCAGAGGGCGATGGAGTCAGAGGGTGATGGTGTCAGAGGGCGATGGTGTCAGAGGGTGATGGTGTCAGAGGGTGATGGTGTCAGAGGGCGATGGAGTCAGAGGGCGATGGAGTCAGAGGGCGATGGAGTCAGAGGGCGATGGAGTCAGAGGGCGATGGTGTCAGAGGGCGATGGAGTCAGAGGGCGATGGTGTCAGAGGGCGATGGAGTCAGAGGGCGATGGAGTCAGAGGGCGATGGAGTCAGAGGGCGATGGTGTCAGAGGGCGATGGAGTCAGAGGGCGATGGAGTCAGAGGGCGATGGAGTCAGAGGGCGATGGAGTCAGAGGGCGATGGAGTCAGAGGGCGATGGAGTCAGAGGGTGATGGTGTCAGAGGGCGATGGAGTCAGAGGGCGATGGAGTCAGAGGGCGATGGAGTCAGAGGGCAATGGTGTCAGAGGGCGATGGAGTCAGAGGGCGATGGTGTCAGAGGGCGATGGAGTCAGAGGGCGATGTGTCAGAGGGCGATGGAGTCAGAGGGCGATGGGGTCAGAGGGCGATGGTGTCAGAGGGCGATGGTGTCAGAGGGCGATGGAGTCAGAGGGCGATGGAGTCAGAGGGCGATGGAATCAGAGGGCGATGGAGTCAGAGGATGATGGTGTCAGAGGGCGATGGAGTCAGAGGGCGATGGAGTCAGAGGGCGATGGTGTCAGAGGGCGATGGAGTCAGAGGGCGATGGTGTCAGAGGGCGATGGAGTCAGAGGGCGATGTGTCAGAGGGCGATGGAGTCAGAGGGCGATGGAGTCAGAGGGCGATGGTGTCAGAGGGCGATGGTGTCAGAGGGCGATGGAGTCAGAGGGCGATGGAGTCAGAGGGCGATGGAGTCAGAGGGCGATGGAGTCAGAGGGCGATGGAGTCAGAGGGCGATGGAGTCAGAGGGCGATGGTGTCAGAGGGCGATGGAGTCAGAGGGCGATGGAGTCAGAGGGCGATGGAGTCAGAGGGCGATGGAGTCAGAGGGCGATGGTGTCAGAGGGCTATGGAGTCAGAGGGCGATGGAGTCAGAGGGCGATGGAGTCAGAGGGCGATGGAGTCAGAGGGCGATGGTGTCAGAGGGCGATGGAGTCAGAGGGCGAGTCAGAGGGCGAGTCAGAGGGCGATGGTGTCAGAGGGCGATGGAGTCAGAGGGCAATGGAGTCAGAGGGCGATGGAGTCAGAGGGTGATGGAGTCAGAGGGTGATGGAGTCAGAGGGCGATGGAGTCAGAGGGCGATGGAGTCAGAGGGCGATGGAGTCAGAGGGCGATGGTGTCAGAGGGCGATGGAGTCAGAGGGCGATGGTGTCAGAGGGCGATGGAGTCAGAGGGCGATGTGTCAGAGGGCGATGGAGTCAGAGGGCGATGGAGTCAGAGGGCGATGGTGTCAGAGGGCGATGGTGTCAGAGGGCGATGGAGTCAGAGGGCGATGGAGTCAGAGGGCGATGGAGTCAGAGGGCGATGGAGTCAGAGGGCGATGGAGTCAGAGGGCGATGGTGTCAGAGGGCGATGGAGTCAGAGGGCGATGGAGTCAGAGGGCGATGGAGTCAGAGGGCGATGGAGTCAGAGGGCGATGGTGTCAGAGGGCGATGGTGTCAGAGGGCTATGGAGTCAGAGGGCGATGGAGTCAGAGGGCGATGGAGTCAGAGGGCGATGGAGTCAGAGGGCGATGATGTCAGAGGGCGATGGAGTCAGAGGGCGATGGAGTCAGAGGGCGATGGAGTCAGAGGGCGATGGAGTCAGAGGGCGATGGAGTCAGAGGGCGATGGTGTCAGAGGGCGATGGAGTCAGAGGGCGATGGAGTCAGAGGGCGATGGAGTAATAGGGCGATGGAGTCAGAGGGCGATGGTGTCAGAGGGCGATGGAGTCAGAGGGCGATGGAGTCAGAGGGCGAGTCAGAGGGCGAGTCAGAGGGCGATGGAGTCAGAGGGCAATGGAGTCAGAGGGCGATGGTGTCAGAGGGCGATGGAGTCAGAGGGCGATGTGTCAGAGGGCGATGGAGTCAGAGGGCGATGGAGTAATAGGGCGATGGAGTCAGAGGGCGATGGTGTCAGAGGGCGATGGAGTCAGAGGGCGATGGAGTCAGAGGGCGATGGTGTCAGAGGGCGAGTCAGAGGGTGATGGAGTCAGAGGGCGATGGTGTCAGAGGGCGATGGAGTCAGAGGGTGATGGTGTCAGAGGGCGAGTCAGAGGGCGATGGAGTCAGAGGGCGATGGTGTCAGAGGGCGATGGAGTCAGAGGGTGATGGTGTCAGAGGGCGAGTCAGAGGGTGGAGTCAGAGGGCGAGTCAGAGGGTGGAGTCAGAGGGTGATGGAGTCAGAGGGTGATGGAGTCAGAGGGTGATGGAGTCAGAGGGCGAGTCAGAGGGTGGAGTCAGAGTGTGATGGAGTCAGACGGTGATGGTGTCAGAGGGCGAGTCAGAGGGTGATAGAGTCAGAGGGCGAGTCAGAGGGTGGAGTCAGAGTGTGATGGAGTCAGAGGGTGATGGTGTCAGAGGGCGAGTCAGAGGGTGATGGTGTCAGAGGGTGATGGTGTCAGAGGGTGATGGTGTCAGAGGGTGATGGAGTCAGAGGGTGATGGAGTCAGAGGGTGATGGTGTCAGAGGGCGAGTCAGAGGGTGGAGTCAGAGGGTGATGGAGTCAGAGGGTGATGGAGTCAGAGGGTGATGGAGTCAGAGGGTGATGGAGTCAGAGGGTGATGGAGTCAGAGGGTGATGGTGTCAGAGGGTGGAGTCAGAGGGTGATGGTGTCAGAGGGCGATGGTGTCAGAGGGCGAGTCAGAGGGTGATGGTGTCAGAGGGTGGAGTCAGAGGGTGATGGTGTCAGAGGGCGATGGAGTCAGAGGGCGATGGAGTCAGAGGGCGATGGAGTCAGAGGGTGATGGTGTCAGAGGGCGATGGTGTCAGAGGGCGAGTCAGAGGGTGATGGTGTCAGAGGGTGGAGTCAGAGGGTGATGGTGTCAGAGGGCGATGGAGTCAGAGGGCGATGGAGTCAGAGGGCGATGGAGTCAGAGGGTGATGGTGTCAGAGGGCGAGTCAGAGGGTGGAGTCAGAGGGTGATGGAGTCAGAGGGTGATGGAGTCAGAGGGCGATGGAGTCAGAGGGCGATGGTGTCAGAGGGCGATGGAGTCAGAGGGCGATGGAGTCAGAGGGCGATGGTGTCAGAGGGCGATGGAGTCAGAGGGTGATGGTGTCAGAGGGCGAGTCAGAGGGTGGAGTCAGAGGGCGAGTCAGAGGGTGGAGTCAGAGGTGATGGAGTCAGAGGGTGATGGAGTCAGAGGGTGATGGAGTCAGAGGGTGATGGAGTCAGAGGGCGAGTCAGAGGGTGGAGTCAGAGTGTGATGGAGTCAGAGGGTGATGGTGTCAGAGGGCGAGTCAGAGGGTGGAGTCAGAGGGTGATGGTGTCAGAGGGTGATGGTGTCAGAGGGTGATGGTGTCAGAGGGTGATGGAGTCAGAGGGTGATGGAGTCAGAGGGTGATGGTGTCAGAGGGCGAGTCAGAGGGTGGAGTCAGAGGGTGATGGAGTCAGAGGGTGATGGAGTCAGAGGGTGATGGTGTCAGAGGGTGGAGTCAGAGGGTGATGGTGTCAGAGGGCGATGGTGTCAGAGGGCGAGTCAGAGGGTGATGGAGTCAGAGGGTGATGGTGTCAGAGGGTGGAGTCAGAGGGTGATGGTGTCAGAGGGCGATAGAGTCAGAGGGTGGAGTCAGAGGGTGGAGTCAGAGGGTGGAGTCAGAGGGTGATGGAGTCAGAGGGTGATGGAGTCAGAGGGCGATGGAGTCAGAGGGCGATGGAGTCAGAGGGTGATGGAGTCAGAGGGTGATGGAGTCAGAGTGTGATGGAGTCAGAGGGTGATGGTGTCAGAGGGTGATGGTGTCAGAGGGCGAGTCAGAGGGTGGAGTCAGAGGGTGATGGAGTCAGAGGGTGATGGAGTCAGAGGGTGATGGTGTCAGAGGGCGATGGAGTCAGAGGGCGATGGAGTCAGAGGGTGGAGTCAGAGGGTGATGGAGTCAGAGGGTGATGGAGTCAGAGGGTGATGGAGTCAGAGGGTGGAGTCAGAGGGTGATGGAGTCAGAGGGTGGAGTCAGCGGCCACATGAAGAGGTGGAGTATGGGTGGTGTTGAGGTCCCACGTGCCTCACACAGATATTGAACAACATTGAGAGTCATAATTCTACAAAGCATTTTGTTTTCTTTAAACTGCAAAAATGATCATATGAGGAAATAATAATAATAATAATAATAGTAATAATAATAATAATAATAATAATAGTAATAGTAATAGTAATAATAATAATAATAATAATAGTAATAATAATAATAATAATAATAATAATAGTAATAATAATAATAATAATAATAATAGTAATAATAGTAAGTAAGTAAGTAAGTAAGTTTGTATTTATATACCGCCTTTTCACTGCAGATCTGAGTCTCAAAGCGGTTTACAATTGTTAATTATGGGCATTTGTCTCTCACTCCACACAGAGATGGGAGCGGGGCCAGTACAGGAGGCGCATGCCAGAACTATTGGACATATTTTTAGTGGTAGGGGAAACCGGAGTACCCGGAGGAAACCTACGCAGACACGGGGAGAACATGCAAACTCCACTCAGAAAGGCCCTGGTCCGGCCGGGATTTGAACCCAGGACCTTCTTGCTGAGAGGCGAGAGTGCTATCCACTCAGCCACCGTGCCGCCCTAATAATAATAATAATAATAATAATAATAATAATAATAATAATAATAGTAATAATAATAATAATAGTAATAATAATAATAATAATAATAATAATAGTATAATAATAATAATAATAATAATAATAATAATAATAATAGTAATAGTAATAGTAATAATAATAAATAATAATAATAATAAATAATAATAATAATAATAGTAATAATAATAATAATAGTAATAGTAATAGTAATAATAATAATAATAATAATAATAGTAATAATAATAATAATAATAATAATAATAATAGTAATAATAATAATAATAATAATAATAATAATAATAATAATAATAATAGTAATAAATAATAATAATAATAATAATAGTAATAATAATAATAATAATAGTAATAATAATAATAATAATAGTAATAATAATAATAATAATAATAATAATAATAATAATAGTAATAATAATAATAATAATAATAATAGTAATAATAATAATAATAATAGTAATAATAATAATAATAATAGTAATAATAATAATAATAATAATAATAATAATAATAATAGTAATAAAAGCTCATATTGAGTGTTTTTGTTTTCAGCCCATTCTGTGTAAACCAGATTCTCCAACGGGACAAAGACATTTAGTCTGATTTAAATACTGTTGCTTCACTTCCTCTTTCCGAAGGAGAATCTGGCCTTAGGCAGAATGTGCTCGGGTTAAATTACATTTTGCAAAAATTGAGACATTTTTGACTTATTTTCCATCTGTTTTTGCAGCGAGCCGCATGTTAGACCTCTTTAAACTGGGACAAAGCCAGAACAACAGTAGAACCTTTTCTGTCTGAGGTCGGGAGAACTGTGGGAAATAAACTTCACTTTAAAGAGAAATGCAAAGGACCCGGCTCTAACGTCTGAACTTGTTTTAGTAGAAAACAGAAACGAAACAGGAAGTGGTCGCGCTAAGACACAAACCAGGAAATGGGTTCCAAATGATGTGTTTTTGAACAGTCTTCTGCACGTGCTCAGAGCAGGTGGGACCCCATGTGATGGCGTTAGTTAGCGTTAGATAGCGTTAGTTAGCGTTAGATAGCGTTAGTTAGCATTAGTTAGCGTTAGTTAGCGTTAGCAGCGGTCACACACAGTCAAGCACAAGGCAGATTTGGAGAGCAGAGTGGAGAAGCCGTGACAGTCTCAGATGCATTTATTTAGCTTCAGCTCTTACCGTCGTCTCCTCTAGAATGGAGTTAAACTTTGAGCCCAACAGCTCTGTCTTAAGCTGCACAGTTTAGAGAGAAGAAAAGAGGACCACATGAGGACCACACAGGAGCCATGAGGACCACATGAGGACCACACAGGAGCCCTGAGGACCACATGAGGACCATACAGGAGCCATGAGGACCACACAGGAGACCTGAGGACCACATGAGGACCACACAGGAGCCATGAGGACCACATGAGGACCACACAGGAGCCATGAGGACCACATGAGGACCACACAGGAGCCATGAGGACCACATGAGGACCACACAGGAGCCATGAGGACCACACAGGAGCCATGAGGACCACACAGGAGCCATGAGGACCACACAGGAGCCATGAGGACCACATAGGAGCCATGAGGACCACATAGGAGCCATGAGGACCACATGAGGACCACACAGGAGCCATGAGGACCACATAGGAGCCATGAGGACCACACAGGAGCCATGAGGACCACACAGTAGCCATGAGGACCACAGGAGGACCACATGAGGACCACACAGGAGCCATGAGGACCACAGGAGGACCACATGAGGACCACACAGAAGCCATGAGGACCACAGGAGGACCACACAGAAGCCATGAGGACCACAGATATTTTGAGAGAAAAATAATAATCTTGCTCCGTGTTTGTTATTGTTGCATTTCCTGTGTTCGAACTGATTCTCTGATCTGAATCAAGAACTTTAAACACCAGTGGTCATGTTGGGGGAGGGCGTGTCTGTGCTCAGGGGGGGCGTGTCTGTGGTCAGGGGGGGCGTGTCTGTGGTCAGGGGGGCTTGTCTGTGGCCAGGGGGCGTGTCTGTGGTCAGAGGGGCGTGTCTGTGGTCAGAGGGGCGTGTCTATGGTCAGAGGGGCGTGTCTATGGTCAGAGGGGCGTGTCTATGGTCAGAGGGGCGTGTCTATGGTCAGAGGGGCGTGTCTGTGGTCGGGGGGGCGTGTCTGTGGTCAGGGGGGGCGTGTCTGTGGTCAGAGGGGCGTGTCTGTGGACAGGGGGGCATGTCTGTGGTCAGAGGGGCATGTCTGTGGTCAAAGGGGCGTGTCTATGGTCAGAGGGGCGTGTCTGTGCTCAGGGGGCGTGTCTGTGGTCAGAGGGGTGTGTCTGTGGTCAGAGGGGGGCGTGTCTGTGGTCAGGGGGGGCGTGTCTGTGGTCAGAGGGGCGTGTCTGTGGTTGGGGGGGCGTGTCTGTGGTCAGAGGGGCGTGTCTGTGGTCAGAGGGGCGTGTCTATGGTAAGAGGGGCGTGTCTGTGCTCAGGGGGCGTGTCTGTGGTCAGAGGGGTGTGTCTGTGGTCAGAGGGGGGCGTGTCTGTGGTCAGGGGGGGCGTGTCTGTGGTCAGAGGGGCGTGTCTGTGGTTGGGGGGGGCGTGTCTGTGGTCAGAGGGGCGTGTCTGTGGTCAGAGGGGCGTGTCTGTGGTCAGAGGGGGGCATGTCTGTGGTCAGAGGGGGGCGTGTCTGTGGTCAGAGGGGCGTGTCTGTGGTCAGAGGGGGGCGTGTCTGTGGTCAGAGGGGCGTGTCTGTGGTCAGAGGGGCGTGTCTGTGGTCAGAGGGGCGTGTCTGTGGTCAGAGGGGGGCGTGTCTGTGGTCAGAGGGGCGTGTCTGTAGTCGGGGGGGACGTGTCTGGTCAGGGGGGCGTGTCTGTGGTCAGGGGGGCGTGTCTGTGGTCAGAGGGGCGTGTCTGTGGTCAGAGGGGCGTGTCTGTGGTCAGAGGGGCGTGTCTATGGTCAGAGGGGCGTGTCTATGGTCAGAGGGGCGTGTCTATGGTCAGAGGGGGCGTGTCTGTGGTCAGAGGGGCGTGCCTGTGGTCAGAGGGGGGCGTGTCTGGGGTCAGAGGGGCGTGTCTGTGGTCAGAGGGGCGTGTCTGTGGTCAGAGGGGCGTGTATATGGTCAGAGGCGCGTGTCTGTGGTCAGAGGGGCGTGTCTGTGGTCAGGGGGGGCGTGTCTGTGGTCAGGGGGGGCGTGTCTGTGGTCAGGGGGGCGTGTCTGTGGTCAGGGGGGGCGTGTCTGTTGTCAGGGGGGGCGTGTCTGTGGTCAGAGGGGGCGTGTCTGTGGTCAGGGGGGGCGTGTCTGTGGTCAGAGGGGGCGTGTCTGTGGTCAGAGGGGCGTGTCTGTGGTCAGAGGGAGGCGCGTCTATGGTCAGAGGGGCGTGTCTATGGTCAGAGGGAGGCGTGTCTATGGTCAGAGGGGGGCGTGTCTATGGTCAGAGGGGGGCGTGTCTATGGTCAGAGGGGGGCGTGTCTATTTTCAGAGGGGGGTGTGTCTGTGGTCAGAGGGGCGTGTCTGTGGTCAGAGGGGCGTGTCTGTGGTCAGAGGGGGGCGTGTCTGTGGTCAGAGGGGCGTGTCTGTGGTCAGAGGGGCGTGTCTGTGGTCAGAGGGGCGTGTGTGTGATCAGAGGGGCGTGTCTGTGGTCAGAGGGGCGTGTCTGTGGTCAGAGGGGGGCGTGTCTGTGGTCAGAGGGGCGTGTCTGTGGTCAGAGGGGCGTGTATATGGTCAGAGGGGGGCGTGCCTGTGGTCAGAGGGGGGCGTGTCTGTGGTCAGAGGGGCGTGTCTGTGGTCAGAGGGGGCGTGTCTGTGGTCAGAGGGGCGTGTCTATGGTCAGAGGGGCGTGTCTATGGTCAGAGGGGCGTGTCTATGGTCAGAGGGGCGTGTCTATGGTCAGAGGGGCGTGTCTATGGTCAGAGGGGCGTGTCTATGTCAGAGGGGCGTGTTTATGGTCAGAGGGGCGTGTCTGTGGTCAGAGGGGCGTGTCTATGTCAGAGGGGCGTGTTTATGGTCAGAGGGGCGTGTCTGTGGTCAGAGGGGCGTGTCTATGGTCAGAGGGGCGTGTCTATGGTCAGAGGGGGCGTGTCTGTGGTCAGAGGGGGCGTGTCTGTGGTCAGAGGGGGGCGTGTCTGTGGTCAGAGGGGCGTGTCTTTGGTCAGAGGGGCGTGTCTATGGTCAGAGGGGGGCGTGTCTGTGGTCAGAGGGGGCGTGTCTGTGGTCAGAGGGGGGCGTGTCTGTGGGTCCGAGGGGCGTGTCTGTGATCAGAGGGGCGTGTCTATGGTCAGAGGGGGGCGTGTCTGTGGTCAGAGGGGCGTGTCTGTGGTCAGAGGGGCGTGTCTGTGGTCAGAGGGGCGTGTCTGTGATCAGAGGGGCGTGTCTATGGTCAGAGGGGGGCGTGTCTGTGGTCAGAGGGGCGTGTCTATGGTCAGAGGGGCGTGTCTATGGTCAGAGGGGCGTGTCTGTGGTCAGAGGGGGGCGTGTCTGTGGTTGGGCAGTCTCACCACTTTCTTCCTCAGACTGTGTTTGTCCTTCTTGGCTGTGGTGTAGTGCAGCGGGGGGTGCTCCAGGATCACTTCCTGTCTATGGCAGCCATTTTCTCTGGGGGCGCAGGGACCAACATCATCAGTCTGCACCGTCGGCCCCTTTCTCACCAGAACTTATCAGCCCAGACCAGACCAGACCAGACTGGGACCAAGAAACCCTCTGCTTCAGTGGTGACAGTGACCGTTGTTGTTCCAATGGAGCTTAACCTGAACTAAAATATGAAGCTGATTTCAAATTGTATTATTGTAATTTCTTGCCTCTTTACTCCATCTCTATTTAGCTCCACTTTAGCTCCACTTTATTCTACCGTCCTCTCAACCTGAAGCTTTAGCCAGTCCTAGCTCTAGCGATGTGACTCATACATGTATTTTTATTGTGGTGGATTTTATGGATTTATTGGGATTATTTAGACTCCATTAAGTTTTAGGAGCTATAGACAGACTGGAAGCTAACAGTGACTGAGTAGCATGGAGGCTAACAGTGACTGAGTAGCATGGAGGCTAACAGTGACTGAGTAGCATGGAGGCTAACAGTTAAACTGTTAAACTCCTCGACATTCAATCGTGCGGTGTCCAGTTAAAACTCTGCTACATTACAACATGAGGCTTATATTCAAATGCGGCCTATATGTGGACAAGATTGATTTTCTTTTCAAATGTACAGTAGGTGGTGCAGCTCATATTCAGGTGCTACCGCCTTATAGTCCAGAAAGTACAGTGTCATTTCTGTGTTTGGTCTCCGGTTCAGGAGTGGAAACCCAGTCCTGCAGTGTCAGTGAGTGTGGAGGAGGGCTGACCACGTTCTAGTGGGAATGAGGCTCATGTGAACGACCACACGCTAAGCCTGGGCATCCATCTTAAAACAACACGCTAAGCCTGGGCATCCATCTTTAAACAACACGCTCTGTTCAGCTGCAGCCAACTGTGAGAGCCGCTTTATTGGAACGGCTCCTCACACACTGGGACGGAGCTATAAAAAGACCAAATCTGCCTTGAGTCTGAAGCTCCGGGGTTTGCTCCAGGGTTAGCTCCCTGCTGGGTAGCTCCAGGGTTAGCTCCCTGCTGGGTAGCTCCAGGGTTAGCTCCCTGCTGGGTAGCTCCAGGGTTAGCTCCCTGCTGGGTAGCTCCAGGGTTAGCTCCCTGCTGGGTAGCTCCAGGGTTAGCTCCCTGCTGGGTAGCAGAGCGGGTCAGGGAGGTGGAAGCAGTGTTAGTGACTAACCCACAGGGCTTTAGAGGATGGCTAGGCTTAAGAGTGTCCTTCACACGGAACAACAGCTTCACTTCTTACTTCTTGTTGTTGTGGCCGACGTATCGAACCGCTGCGATGATGAAGGCGATGACAGCGACTCCTCCGATGGTGCCCACGATAACGGCCATCAGGTACTTCTCTGCACATAACACATACTTACTTAACACATGAATCAGACCATACCCTGTTCTCATTTCAAACTGAAGTGGGTCCAGTCCTCCCCCCTCTGAGTTACACACTGGGAATGAGGGCCGTGTGCAGAGAACTGAACATTTAAGGAGTTTTATTAACATTTATGGACGTATAATATTGTTTCTTGTGTTGTGTATGAACTGTGCTATATAAATAACCTTGCCTTGGTCATGCGCCAAGGACAAATGTCTCTGTGTTTATTATTACTATTATATAAAATGTTATATTATTGTGTTGTAGATTTTCATGACACTTTGAAGCAACTATGGTTAAAGTTCTAACTTATCATTCTAACATACTTTTCCACTGCATATTCTGATGATCTCAAGGTCGAAGCTTCTGGCATCGCGGCGAAAGCTGATTGGACGTTGTTCATTCCTCCTGCTATATTATCACTTGCAGTCTGTAACATCTTTTGTTCGTGCTGGTGTTGTCTCTACCATGACAATAAAACATGTCTTCTGTCTGAATTTAAGACACGATCCCAGACTTTGTCATCTTCTTCAGTATATTATTGTATATTGTTATATATATATATTGTTATGTTTGTGTAAGCCCTCAGTCGTACAGGGATTAGTCAAAGCAAAGGAAGGTTTCTCACCCATCATCTGTACTTCTTAGCAAGTTTTCCCGACGTTTCGTCCTCAACCTAGCGGACTTCTTCAGGGAATGAATTCTCGGACCGCACGTTGGAGATTTATAACCTATGGGTGTGGTTAGCCACGCCCTAATAATGAGACGCCCTGGTCTTGGCACGCGGGTTGGAGAAAATCAAAAGAAAACTAGCAGACGCCAGAAATCATCTTAGGTTTAATCTTAGGTGTAGCCAGAGTAAACTTATCCCAAAATGTTTAAAGCAAAAAGCGTTAGAAACAGGCCAGTTGGCAAGAAAAATACAACAAAACTACTGTATGAAGATTCTCAATTTAAGAATTCGACGACTTAACATAGAGATTATAAACCTAAAGGACGAGATAGAGGGCCTTAAGCACAAACTGGAATTGGCAGTCTCACCAGAGTTTTTTCAGAGGATTTGGACGTTTACGGAAACTGCCCAACTGAACCATCACAAGAAGGCCAAAGAACGTCAGATAGGCAAATTTCTAAAACTCCAAAACCATAATTCTTTTCAACATTCTAAAAGTGAAATTGGACAAGGTGGGGACAGGGAGAATTGGGTCAAAAATCTGTCCGATCGGCATTTATCACAAGCGGAAAAAGATGTTCTTACTAAAGGCCTAAATTTTGCAATAACCCCAAAAGATATTCCTACAACTGAATACATCACAGCAGCAGAAGCAGCCATTAGAAACAACAAACTAACTGAGAGTGAGGCAGGGGCCCTCAGACTGAGAGTCTCTGCAACACTCAAAAGTGCGAAGCCACCACAATCCAATGTCTCATTAGATGAGCAAAAAGCTTTATTGGCATTACAAAAGGATGAGAGTATAACTATTTTACCAGCTGACAAAGGCAGATGCACAGTTATCCTCAACAGCTCAGACTATGAGGCCAAAGTTAATCAGTTACTCTTGGACACCAACACGTACCAGCCATTGAAGAGGGACCCTACCAGTGGGTTTAGGAAAAAGATTATAGACTTCCTTCAGAGCTTAATGAAAGACGGCATTATTGAAAAACCACTATATTACAAACATTACCCAGGAGACACCATCCCCAGTATTTATGGACTCCCAAAAATACACAAACAAAACTTTCCACTTGGGCCTATTGTATGTAGCATAGACTCTATCACCTACAACCTGGCTAAACACCTCAAAACCATTCTGGCTCCTTTGGTGGGTAACACCCACCATCACATAGAAAACACTAAAGAATTTGTAAATAAAATCAAACAGCTCCAGTTTGACACAGATGAGACAATGGTCTCGTTTGATGTGACATCGCTTTTTACGTCGGTCCCTATTACAGAGGCGGTGGAGGCTGTAAGAGAAAGCCTACAGAAAGACGCCACACTAGGGGAGAGAACGAAACTAACAGCTGACCACATCTGTGAAATACTTGAAATGTGTCTTAACACCACGTATTTCCAATTTAGAGGCACCTTCTTTAGACAGATTCATGGCTGTGCGATGGGCTCCCCAGTCTCTCCTATAGTGGCCAATCTGTATATGGAGAAACTGGAGGAACAAGCCCTGGGCTCTTACCAAGGGACAGCGCCAAGCCATTGGTTTGATATGTAGACGATACATGGGTTAAGTTAAAGAAACAGGAAGTGGAACCATTTTCAGAACACATTAATTCGGTGGACCCTTTTATACATTTCACTCGCGAGGATGCTAAGGAGAGTGAACTGGCCTTTCTAGATTGTAAGGTCATCATCCTGGAGAACGGACAATTAGAGACTGAGGTCTTCAGAAAGTCCACTCACACTGACCAGTACCTGGCCTTTGACTCAAACCATCCGCTACAACACAAACTCGGGGTCATTAGAACGCTTCAACACCGAGCCCACCAGGTCCCCACTAGCTCGGAGGGAAAGAACAGAGAAACCAAACATGTTCAGAGAGCACTTTCCAGATGTGGCTACCCCAAGTGGTCTTTTACTAAAGCCCAAAGGACGAGAAAGGCCAGAGACACAGTCCAACAGACAGAAGAAAGTAGGAGGAGAGAAAGAAGCCATTTTTGTGAGGAAACAAAAACCTTCTCTTAACAGAGGAGGAGGGTTAAGATTTGTTTTGCCTCGCATCTATGACGACATCCTAAAAACAACGCCCTAACTTGGGACAAGGTCAGTGACATGCTAATGAGTTAGGGTCGTTAGCCTCAGCAGGGTCGTTAGACCTGCTCCCTTCTACATCAGACCTTAGATTGTTTATGAGTTAGTATCAGGATTATAGGTTATAGGTTATAAATCTCCAACGCGCGGTCTGAGAATTCATTCCCTGAAGAAGTCCGCTAGTTTGAGGACGAAACGTCGGGAAAACTTGCTAAGAAGTACAGATGATGGGTGAGAAACCTTCCTTTGCTATATATTGTTATATTATTAATCCTGTGTTGAACACTTTGATTCTCTGATCTGCTGTTACAGAATCAATGTTTTGTCTCAGGACTTACTCTCCTGCTGCAGCTCCAGGAGGACGCTCTCTCGCCCGTAGACGTTGGAGAAGCTGCAGTGGACGTTGACCGCGGGGCCGTTGCCGCGCTCGCCCTGCTCCCGCAGCTTGATCATGGCAGTGGCGGTCTGACCGTCCGTGTGCGAGTAGAAGTTGAAGCGGTTGTCGGTCTCGTTGACGGTGACGTTGAAGTCGGGGAGAAAGAACTCAATGGTTGGCTCTGGGTTTCCTTTAGCTACGCATACACACTGCACTCCCTCCCTCACCACCGTGCACCTGGACTCCTGCAGCACCGGGGCATCTGGGGGACCACAGACCAGTTACTGACCACAGCCTGAGGCTATAACCCTGACCGGGGCATCTGGGGGACCACAGACCAGTTACTGACCACAGCCTGAGGCTATAACCTTGACCGGGGCATCTGGGGGACCACAGACCAGTTACTGACCACAGCCTGAGGCTATAACCCTGACCGGGGCATCTGGGGGACACTGGGACTCACACTGGGACTCACACTGGGACTCACACTGGGACTCACACTGGGACTCACACTGGGACTCACACTGGGACTCACACTGGGACTCACACTGGGACTCACACTGGGACTCACACTGGGACTCACACTGGGACTCACACTGGGACTCACACTGGGACTCACACTGGGACTCACACTGGGACCACACTGGGACCACACTGGGACCACACTGGGACTCACACTCCACGGTGATGTTGAGGGAGCTGGTGGCTCGGCCGTGCTGGTTCTCGGCGAGGCAGTGGTAGAGTCCGTCCGCCTCAGGGCGCAGGTCCTTCAGCTCCAGCACCGACAGTTCCTCTGCGGTGATGGTTCCTAGCAGCTCCCCGTCCTTCAGCCAGGTCAGGGTGGGGGCGGGGCTGCCCTGGGTCCTGCAGTGGAGACTCACAGACACCCCCTCCAGGACCGTCATGGACTCATTCACCTGGGGCTCTCGAGGAGGGTCTGCAACACACACACACACACACATATAAACACAGAGATACACACACACACACAGATATATAAACACACACACACAGTCCACGCTGTGACACTCACACTTGACGGCCAGGTAGAGGGAGGTGTTCATGAGGCCGTAGCCATTGTCCCCCACACAGGTGTAGACGCCGTCCTCTGAGGGGGACACGTCCTCCAGAGTCAGGGACAGGTTGGACGCCTTGTCCCAGAGTAGCTCTTTGTCCCCGAACAGCCACGAGATACGAGGGGGGGGGTTACTGTCCACCTCACAGTGAAGCGCCACGGCCCCGCCCTCCATCACCTCCGACGACACGTTCACCCACACGGACCGCGGCCCGTCTGCAGAGAGGACACTTTATTTATAAAGCACAGTCTGTGAGAGGACACTTTATTTATCTCAGTCTCTCTCTCCCCCCTCCTCTCTCCCCCTTCCCCCCCCCCTCTCTCACTCACACTTGACGTCCAGGGAGATGAGTCTCTCGTAGACCAGGGTGGAGTTGGGGTAGGTGACCCTGCAGCCCAGGAGCTGTCCGTGGTGCATGGGTCTGGGGGTGAATGTGAGGGTGTTGGACATGACGGCGGAGTTCCCCTCCTCCAGGTACTCCGGGCTGAAGGCGGGGTCCGGCAGGTAGTCCGTGTACATCCACTCGATCTCAGGCGTCATGTCGGGGCAGTTGTCCGGAGCGTAGCACGTTAGCTCCAGGCTCTCGTCGCTCACGATCTCCTCTGGGACGTCGATGTTGGGCTGGTCTGCAAAAAACACATACTTATGTCTTAGAACCGTAGCACTTTAGCATCATAGCACCTGAGCACTTTAGCACCTGAGCACTTTAACACCTCAGCACTTTAACACCTCAGCACTTTAACACCTCAGCACTTTAACACCTCAGCACTTTAACACCTCAGCACTTTAACACCTGAGCACTTTAACACCTGAGCACTTTAACACCTGAGCACTTTAACACCTCAGCACTTTAACACCTGAGCACTTTAGCACCTGAGCACTTTAACACCTCAGCACTTTAACACCTCAGCACTTTAGCACCTCAGCACTTTAGCACCTCAGCACCTGAGCACTTGTTTTCTCCAGGGTGGGGGCACATTTGTTTATCAGTGCATTGTGGACTAACATTTTTTATTAAATTATTTTTTTCCCAGATGCTACGAGTTAAAGTCAAAATATTATGCGATAAAAGTCAGACAAATTTGCAGTTGGCGCATTATGTCAATGGAGCCAATGTCATCATCTTCAGGAAACCTGGACTTACTGAGTCTATATCTGGAAACAACAGTTTCATCATGAGCTTCCGTCACTCCAAGTCCATAAACTCTGCTCGGACAACAGCCCGCCTAACATATAATAACTAATAATATAATAATAACTTATATTAGCCGCATCGCTATATACTGTATACCTGAACATGGCGTTGGACAGCCCTGGACTGTGCAATCAACATGAAACTAAATGAAAGAAACCTTTTCTTTTACAATATTTATTTTTTGTATTGTGTCTAGTGGTGGACACTGTTGAACGTACCTTTTATCTTATATGTTTTTAACTGGGCATTTGCTCTCCCTGAGTGATCTTACTGCTGCCAAATGTAACAACAACAGATCAATAAAGTGTTATATCTTATTATCTTGGCAGGATGTTGGTTCGTTGTTAGAATATTATGGCGGGTTTGTGAATCTCATCACTATTAAATGATGATCCGGGTTAGAACTGAATACGGCCAATCAAAAGAACCTACCCAAAACTTTGAGCTCAGAGAAGTCTGGGTAGGTGTACATGTTGGCTCCTCCCAGATCCGCCCGGAAGTAGTACCTCCCCGAGTGCTCGGAGCCCACGTTGGTGATGAGGAGGGTGCAGTTCCTCTGGTGCAGGTCGCCCAACAGTTTGGTGCGTCCCTTGTAGCTCTCGTGCACCACGTCTGTGCGAGATTTGAAGACCACGGGAGGAAAGAGCTGTGGGTAGGGCTGGCCAAAGTACCAGATGCCGTGGATGCCTCGGTACGGCCGGATCCCTGCCGGGTACATGAAGGTGCAGGGGATGACCACGCACGAGTTGGTCATGGCCGAGATGTCGCGAGGGATCCACACGTTCCACTGGCAGCTGGTATCTGCAACACACACCGGTCATACAGGTGCTACATATACAGGTGCTACGTATACAGGTGCCACATATACAGGTGCCACACATACAGGTGCCACATATGCATACATACAGGTGCCACATGTAATACACATACAGGTGTATATTTGTACACACAAAGATAAAATCCATTAAGTTGAAATGTGAAAAGCTAATCTGAGCATTCATCTGTGAGGGAGTGACATCACCTCTGACGAGCAGCAGTGGCAGCAGCAGCGGCAGCAGTAGCTCCAAACACCACATGGTCCCAGCTCAGAGATGTACCATAGACGTCTGAAAGAACCAACATCACAGGTCACGGTGACTCACGGCTCTTCACACGCTGGGAGTCTGGGTTTTTATCACCTTTATCTGGTTTTATTCTGATTTATCTGCCATATACAGTATGAAGCAACTTGTACTCTGAGGAGCACAGGGACTGGCCTCCTGCTGGGACTCTGAGGAGCACAGGGACTGGCCTCCTGCTGGGACTCTGAGGAGCACAGGGACTGGCCTCCTGCTGGGACTCTGAGGAGCACAGGGACTGGCCTCCTGCTGGGACTCTGAGGAGCACAGGGACTGGCCTCCTGCTGGGACTCTGAGGAGCACAGGGACTGGCCTCCTGCTGGGACTCTGAGGAGCACAGGGACTGGCCTCCTGCTTATGACACATGCCTTATTCTATTTTTACTTCTAAAAGGTGTTTGCAAGAGACAAAGCAATGGCTTGAGACCTGTTGGTACTTACCATGGCAACAAAACAAATCTATTCTGATACTAGTACCATATTCATATAAATACTGATGATGACGCCGTACCTGTGCTGAGTGTTTGAAAACCAGGACGAGGCACACACAGCTGCACGAGGCTCTGGATCACACCTGGATCACACCTGGACGAGTGGATGGCCTGTTTTTCTGCACACAACAGTAGTAACATCATCAGTGACATCATCAGTGACATCATCAGTGACATCATCAGTGACATCATCAGTGACATAATCAGTGACATAATCAGTGACATCATCAGTGACATCATCAGTGACATCATCAGTAACATAATCAGTGACATCATCAGTGACATCATCAGTGACATCATCAGTGACATCATCAGTGACATCATCAGCAGAGGAGCAGTGGGAGCAGAGGGAGCAGAGGGAGCAGAGGAGCAGAGGAAGCAGAGGAGCAGAGGGAGCAGAGGAGCAGAGGGAGCAGAGGAGCAGAGGAGCAGAGGGAGCAGAGGGAGCAGAGGAGCAGAGGGAGCAGAGGAGCAGAGGAGCAGTGAGAGTAGAGGGAGCAGAGGAGCAGAGGGAGCAGAGGGAGCAGAGGGAGCAGAGGAGCAGAGGGAGCAGAGGGAGCAGAGGAGCAGAGGGAGCAGAGGGAGCAGAGGAGCAGAGGGAGCAGAGGAGCAGAGGGAGCAGAGGGAGCAGAGGAGCAGAGGGAGCAGAGGGAGCAGAGGAGCAGAGGAGCAGAGGAGCAGAGGGAGCAGAGGAGCAGTGGGAGAAGAGGGAGCAGAGGAGCAGAGGGAGCAGAGGGAGCAGAGGAGCAGTGGGAGCAGAGGGAGCAGAGGAGCAGTGGGAGCAGAGGGAGCAGTGAGAGTAGAGGGAGCAGAGGAGCAAAGGGAGCAGAGGAGCAGTGGGAGCAGAGGGAGCAGAGGAGCAGAGGGAGCAGAGGGAGCAGAGGGAGCAGAGGGAGCAGAGGGAGCAGAGGGAGCAGAGGGAGCAGAGGGAGCAGAGGAGCAGAGGGAGCAGAGGGAGCAGAGGAGCAGAGGAGCAGAAACGTCGTTGGGAAAAGCTCCAGATTTTAGAAAAGGATCAAATATGTTCATGAACATCAGAATCAGAATCAGAATCATTTTTATTGCCACATAAGTAACAGGAGGTCACAGACTAGGAAATTGCTTTGGCTTAGTGCAACAGTCAAAAAGAGATAATAAAAATAAGAATAAAAAACACTTCTTTTAAAATTTAAAATAGAGTTACAGTTACTATTTACAATATACAAGTGCACATGGTGCACACAATGTAAGGTGACAGCAGTACAGTGAAGTAAAGTGACGTATGATGGGCAGTAAAGTGACTTTATAAAGGGCGGGGGGACAGGTTAAGAAGTGTTCAAGAGTCCAACAGCAGAGGGGAAGAAACTGTTCTTGTGGCGGGAGGTTCTAGTCCTGATGGACCGCAGCCTCCTGCCTGAGGGGAGTGGTTGGAATAGTCCATGTGCAGGTGAGAGGGGAGTGGTTGGAATAGTCCATGTGCAGGTGAGAGGGGAGTGGTTGGAATAGTCCATGTGCAGGTGAGAGGGGAGTGGTTGGAATAGTCCATGTGCAGGTGAGAGGGGTCGGCTGTGATACGACCAGCCCGGCCTCGAGCTCGGGCGACGTACAGGTCCTGCAGCGATGGAAGGCTGCGGCCGATCACTTCCTCTGCAGAGCGCACAATGCGCTGTAGTCTCTGTTTGTCCCTGACTGTGGCTCCAGCGAACCACACGGTGATGGAGGAGGTGATGGAGGAGGTGATGGAGGAGGTGATGGAGGAGGTGATGGAGGAGGTGATGGAGGAGGTGAGGATGGACTCGATGGTGGCCGTGTAGAACTGCAGCTTGGCTTTCCTGAGCTGCCGCAGGAAGTACATCCTCTGCTGGGCCTTCTTGATGAGGGAGCTGATGGTCGGCTCCCACTTGAGGTCCTGGGTGATGGTGGTGCCCAGGAAACGGAAGGACTCCACAGAGGTGATGGGGGAGTCCATCACGGAGGGTGGGGGCGGGGGGACAGTGCTCTTCCTGAAGTCCACAATCATCTCCACTGTCTTCTGGGCGTTCAGCTCCAGGTTGTTACCACTGCACCAGGACACCAGCCGGTCCACCTCCCTCCTGTAGGAGACACCAGGACACCAGCCGGTCCACCTCCCTCCTGTAGGAGACACCAGGACACCAGCCGGTCCACCTCCCTCCTGTAGGCAGACTCATCGTTGTTGGAGATGAGTCCAATAAGAGTGTCCAATAACATGAAGGTTTTTAAACTAAACTAAACTAACCCAAACTAAACTAAACTAACCCAAACTAAACCAAACTAAACCAAACCATTCTCCATCGACTGATTCTCAAAGTAACACATTATGTCAAGTTGAAAGTCTCTTCATCTGCAAGAAACGACGCTGGACGTTAAAGACAAAGGACCATAAAGACACCACACTTGCCTCATACCAGCCTCAGGCCACCGGCTCCTGCTGGTCTCTGCTCCTGCTGGTCTCTCTGCTCCTGCTGGTCTCTCTGCTCCTGCTGGTCTCTCTGCTCCTGCTGGTCTCTCTGCTCCTGCTGGTCTCTGCTCCTGCTCCTGCTGGTCTCTCTGCTCCTGCTGGTCTCTGTTCCTGCTGGTCTCTGCTCCTGCTGGTCTCTGCTCCTGCTGGTCTCTGCTTCTGCTCCTGCTCCTGCTGGTCTCTGCTTCTGCTCCTGCTGGTCTCTGCTCCTGCTGATCTCTGCTTCTGCTGGTCTCTCTGCTCCTGCTGGTCTCTCGGATCCTGCTGGTCTCTCGGATCCTGCTGGTCTCTCGGATCCTGCTGGTCTCTGCTCCTGCTGGTCTCTCTGCTCCTGCTGGTCTCTCTGCTCCTGCTGGTCTCTGCTCCTGCTCCTGCTGGTCTCTCTGCTCCTGCTGGTCTCTGCTCCTGCTGGTCTCTGCTCCTGCTGGTCTCTGCTTCTGCTCCTGCTCCTGCTGGTCTCTGCTTCTGCTCCTGCTGGTCTCTGCTCCTGCTGGTCTCTGCTTCTGCTGGTCTCTCCTTCTGCTCCAGCTGGTCTCTCTGCTCCTGCTGGTCTCTCTGCTCCTGCTGGTCTCTCTGCCCCTGCTGGTCTCTCGGATCCTGCTGGTCTCTCGGATCCTGCTGGTCTCTCGGATCCTGCTGGTCTCTCGGATCCTGCTGGTCTCTACTCCTGCTGGTCTCTCTGCTCCTGTTGGTCTCTCTGCCCCGCTGGTCTCTCTGCTCCTGCTGGTCTCTCTGCTCCTGCTGGTCTCTCTGCTCCTGCTGGTCTCTCTGCTCCTGCTGGTCTCTCTGCTCCTGCTGGTCTCTGCTCCTGCTGGTCTCTGCTCCTGCTGGTCTCTGCTCCTGTGGAGACAGAGACAGACCCAGATGATGTTCATACACATATATGTTATTACAGGGATATACCATGTTCTTACACCTGTGACACCAGAACCTTTTAAAGCACTTTAAAGTGCTGCAGGTCTTCGGTTGAAGCGCTTTAATGGGTTTTTGTGAGTTTTTCCTCTGATGCAGTTAGTGTCCAAGAAGGACTGAGATTTATCAACATTCATGGACATTGGTCTCTCCCTATGGACCAATTCATATGTATTTACATGTTTCTATTAATCTAATAATATTAATAATAATGCAGGAAATAAGGCAATTATGTGTAATAAATAAATTAGAGAAATAATAACCCAGTTTTGCACAGTTCTTTTCAGGACACTCAAAGTCTCTTCTCCTAATTTTTTATTCGCTACAAACACAAGTGATACACCACTGTAGCCACAGCTGCCCTGAGGCAACCAGTCTGTGCCATCAGACACAACCACAGGCACTTTACAACTGCAGCAGACGTTTCCATCACTGTCATATCCTACAAAACATAAAATCTTAAGCTTTTACAACTTAATTAAACACACAAATCTTTGCTTCCTGTATAAGATCCTGACACCGCTGCTCCTCCACTGAAAGAGTTCATCTCTTTAGGCTCAGACATAACACGAGCCACGAGAGCCACCGAGCGGCGAGTGTAGGATCCTCAAACGCAGGACAGCGTGTGTTATTTTTAATGTGATATAACATCAGCCTGCCCTGGGACTACAGGTGGAAATGAGCTCTTGAGCTATAACCTGGTACAATGCATCTCTCCTTCTGAGGTTAATGTTTATTGTGCACTGTCCTTGTCATCTTAAATAAATAAACTAAACTAAACTAAGCCGCCCCACTGAGACATCTGGTGTTCCCAGAGGTCTCCCATCCCAGTACTAACCAGGCCCTGCCCTGCTTGGCCTCAGAGGTCTCCCATCACAGTACTAACCAGGCCCAGCCCTGCTTAGCTCCAGAGGTCTGACAGGATCAGTCTTTCAGATGCTGCTGAAATGTGATTAAACAACTGCTGTCTGTGGGATCAGGAGGGTTGGTGTCTGAGTCCTGCCCTTGTGCCCGTGGGCAGCGCACTCGGAGTATGTGGCCTTCTGCAGACGCTGAGGCCCACACACTCACATTCCTCCTCTTCCTCATGAGTCCAGGACACGGCAGATGTCGAGCCTTTTCTTTCCTCAATAAAACAACAACTGATGTTTATGTGAACGGAGCAGACTCTTCACATTATTAAATAAACTACTGCTGCAGCCACAGCTGCCCTGGGGCACACCACCACCACCAACCATTCACACACACACCAGACTCATTCTAATGTGGGGGAAGTGTCTTGCCTAAGGACACAACCACAGGCACACTGTGGCACCTGGTGTTCCCAGAGGTCTCCCATCACAGTACTAACCAGGCTCTGCCCTGCTTAGCTTCAGAGGTCCTCTTGTTGTGTGTTCGCTCTTATTAATGGTTCTAATTGTGTGTTAGGTTTTTTCTGTGCTACACAAATAAACTTGTGTCACAGTGACTTTGAAACGATGGTTATCATCAGACTCGGGACATGGTTTGTTGGCGCCCACATGGTCCTAGGACGAGGTCATCGATGCTGGCCTGTGATTGGTCGGCTGCAGAATGCTAGTAGGCTGAGTGCATGCTAACACAACACAACACAGGCAGCTTTCTGTGGATCCTTCTCTCATTGTTTAAGTCCAGAGTCACTGCTCTTAAAGGACGTTGGACCCAAGACCCAGTGAGACCGAGACCGAGACGGAGTACGAGTCCGAGTCCGAGCCAGGACCAACTTCAGGGCGTCTCTGAGCCGGAGTGAAGGGAGATCCGGAGAAGAGAGGATGCATTGATGTGAGAAAGCCTCGTAAAGTCTGTACCGTCAGTGCGGGGGACTGCTATGTGCTGTACGCTCCCCTCTGTTTGGGAACCGCCTCCTGCTGTGACTGTGGCCTTTGTTCTCCGACTACACAACTCTACACACAAAACATACACACACTCTACACACAAAACATACACAAACTCTACACACAAAACATGCACAAACTCTACACACAAAACATGCACACACTCTTCACACAAAACATACACACACTCTTCACACAAAACATACACACACTCTACACACAAAACATACACACTCTATACGACAAAACATACACACACTCTACACGGCAAAACATACACAAACTCTACACACAAAACATACACATACTCTACACACAAAACATACACAAACTCTACACACAAAACATACACAAACTCTACACAACAAAACATACACAAACTGTTTTAATCTGACACATTAATCTAGTGTTTTAATCTGACACATTAATCTAGTGTTTTAATCTGACACATTAATCTAGTGTTTTAATCTGACACAATAATCTAGTGTTTTAATCTGACACAATAATCTAGTGTTTTAATCAGACACATTAATCTAGTGTTTTAATCTGACACAATAATCTAGTGTTTTAATCAGACACATTAATCTAGTGTTTTAATCTGACACATTAATCTAGTGTTTTAATCAGACACAATAATCTAGTGTTTTAATCTGACACATTAATCTAGTGTTTTAATCTGACACATTAATCTAGTGTTTTAATCAGACACATTAATCTAGTGTTTTAATCTGACACATTAATCTAGTGTTTTAATCTGACACAATAATCTAGTGTTTTAATCAGACACATTAATCTAGTGTTTTAATCTGACACATTAATCTAGTGTTTTAATCAGACACAATAATCTAGTGTTTTAATCTGACACAATAATCTAGTGTTTTAATCTGACACAATAATCTAGTGTTTTAATCTGACACAATAATCTAGTGCTTTAATCTGACACATTAATCTAGTGTTTTAATCAGACACAATAATCCAGTGTTTTAATATGACACAATAATCTAGTGTTTTAATCTGACACATTAATCTAGTGTTTTAATCTGACACATTAATCTAGTGTTTTAATCTGACACAATAATCTAGTGTTTTAATCTGACACATTAATCTAGTGTTTTAATCTTAATCTGACACATTAATCTAGTGTTTTAATCTGACACAATAATATAGTGTTTTAATCTGACACATTAATCTAGTGTTTTAATCTGAAACATTCTGTTCAGATCCTTTTGGAGTATCTGGATTTGAGGCAGAATCTTGTTAAACTTTTGTCAAAGTCACAGTGGATCATTGTCTCCATTGGTTCAATGATATAACACACAAACAAAGTGTCTTGCCTAAGGACACAACCACAGTTTGGCACTTTACAGCCACAGGTGAAGCTCCAGGTGGAGTCCGGCCCCTGCTGTGGCGCGTAGGGATCCCTGTTTAACAAATGCCCATAGCTCAGCTAGTTTATGGTCAAATTAGCTTCTCCCACATTCGGCTAACACTATGGTTACCGTTAGCACTATACACATATATTTATACATATATATATATATATATTAGGGCTGTCAAACGATTATTTTTTTTTAGTTGATTAATCGCATAGTAATGATGAGTTAACTCACGATTAATCGCATTTTTAACATTCTATTTCAAATCCACTCCAATTGAAGTTGAATGAGATTTTCAAATGTAATGACACATTATTATTCATACCAAATGTACTTAAATCTGTTTGACTTGCTCACAACCTTCTACTTTTGGGTACAACCAACAAGAGCTGTTAATGAAAGGAAAACTGTAGGTACCCCAGCTTTAATTTTGCGAGTTTGGTTGCATTTCAGCGTGTCTCCTCCTCTCCTCCATCATCAGAGAACATCAGAGAATGGCCCCTGTGCGTGTATATATATGCGTGTATTATATAACCACGTTACCGCTGTCATTATCACACACACACACGTGTCCGTGGCATTCTGAGTGATATTATTATAAATGGGCGGGTCATTCGGACATGCGATTGACTGCCAGCCTATTTCAGAACAAGTACCCACAAAATATTGTGTACAATGACTATCTGAAATCCAATCCAGATTCTGAAAGAATGGACTGTCTACTTTCATCAGCAAAAATAATTTTGTTTCTAGCCTGTTTTGTTCCCCTGTAATCCCCAGTCGAGTAGAGGTAAGTTTTATTGAAATCACCAGAAAGCTGAGGAAAAAAGAGGCACTTGTGCATCTAGCTGTTTTCAAACCATTCCTAGAGCAATGCTGCCATCTGCTGGCTCAATAAAATATTGCCTCAAGCCTTACATATTTGATACAACAGACATCTGGGAACGTGAAAATAGCGGGAAACGCAATTGACGTGTTAACACGTCAATGGCAGTTAATGCGTTAATTATTTTTAACGCGTTAATGAAAACGGTAATTAACGTGAATTAACGCGATAATTTTGACAGCCCTAATATATATATATATATATATATAGGGCCTGGAGGGTAAAGGTGACAGTAGTGCCCGTGGTGATCGGTGGTTACAACCTCGGACATCTCGGTCCAGAAATGTGCAGTGCTAGGAACAGCAAAGATACTGCGCAGAACCCTCAAGCTCCCTGGCCTCTGGTAGAGGACCTAAGCTTAGAGAGGGATAACCGCCCACGGATAGAGAGGGATAACCGCCCACGGATAGAGAGGGATAACCACCCACAGATAGAGAGGGATAACCACCCACAGATAGAGACCGGACCTGAACCCAGTCCAGATGGTTTTGGACCTGAACCCAGTCCAGATGGTTTTGGACCTGAACCCAGTCCAGATGGTTTTGGACCTGAACCCAGTCCAGATGGTTTTGGACCTGAACCCAGTCCAGATGGTTTTGGGGCTGGACCACAGAGTGAAGGGGCCAACAAGTGCTAAGCATCATGGGAACTCCTTCCAGACTGTTGGAGACCATTTCAGGTCCTGTTGAAGCTCATCCAGAGAATGCCAAGAGTGAAGCAGTATCAGAGCAAAAGGAGCTACTTTGAAGAACCAGAATATAACACATATTTACACTTGGTTCATACTTTTTTACGAACATAATTCACATGAGTTCATCATAGGTTTGAGGCCCTCAGTGTCAATCTACAGTTTTATAATCATGAAAATAAAATGAGAAGGTGTGTCCAAACTTTTGCTCTGTACTGTATATTATATTATATATTAAAAGGAATGTCTTATCTTAAGCTAGCTGTAGCCAATTTCCTTATATGGGCAATTCTTATATATATATATATATATATATATATATATATATATATATATATATATATACATATACATATATATATATATACATATATACATACATATATACATACATACACACTGCCCATTGGATGTGGGCCGAGCAGCATTACTCATGCTGTCTGTTTGGTGAATACAGACAGTGACAGATGCTGTGGATGATGCTGTGGATGATGCTGTGGATGATGCTGTGGATGATGCTGTGGATGATGCTGTGGATAACAGATGGGGCGTAGGAGAAGAAGCCTGAACACCATGAACAGGAAGTGCTTATATTTCTGCTGCTCTGACGACACAAACTGAAGGTTTGATCACTTCAATAATACATCTGGATCTTTAAGACGCTAAAGACAGAGACACAGACACAGAGACACAGAGACACAGACACAGAGACAGACACAGAGACACAGACACAGAGACACAGACACAGAGACACAGACACAGAGACACAGACACAGACACAGAGACAGACACAGAGACACAGAGACAGAGACACAGACACAGAGACAGAGACACAGACACAGAGACACATACACAGACACAGAGACACAGAGACACAGAGACACAGAGACAGACACAGAGACACAGAGACAGAGACAGAGACACAGACACAGAGACAGAGAGACAGAGAGACAGAAAGACAGAGACAGAGACACAGAGACAGAGAGACAGAGACACATACACAGAGACACAGAGACAGAGACACAGAGACAGAGAGACAGAGAGACAGAGACAGAGACACAGAGACAGAGAGACAGACACAGAGACACAGACACATACACAGAGACACAGACACATACACAGAGACAGAGACACAGACACAGAGACAGAGACAGAGACACAGAGACAGACACAGAGACAGAGACACAGAGACAGAGACACACAGAAACAGAGAGACACAGAGACAGACACAGAGACAGAGACACAGAGACAGAGAGAGAGAGACAGACACAGAGACAGAGACACAGAGACAGAGAGAGAGAGACAGAGAGACAGAGGGACAGAGGGACAGAGACAGAGAGACAGAGACAGAGAGACACAGAGACAGACAGAGACACAGAGACAGACACAGAGACACACAGACACAGAGACACAGACACAGACAGAGACACACACAGACACAGAGACACACAGACACAGACACAGAGACACAGACACACAGACAGACACAGAGACAGAGACACAGACACAGAGACAGAGAGACAGAGACACAGAGACACAGACACACACACAGAGACACAGACACAGACAGAGACACACACAGACACACAGACACAGACATAGAGAAAGAGACACAGACACAGACACAGAGACACAGACACAGACACAGAGACACAGACACAGACACAGAGACAGAGAGACAGAGACAGAGACACAGACACAGAGACACAGAGAGAGGAGAATGTTCCGGATCAGCAGCTGTGACTGGAGCAGATGGTCCAGAGACTGTTCAGCCTCCCCCACAGAGACACACACAGAGACACACACAACACAGAGAGACACACACACACACACACAGAGACACACAGAGACAGAGACACACACACACAGAGAGACACACACAGAGACACACACACAGACACACAGAGACAGAGACACACACACAGACACACAGAGACAGAGACACACACACAGACACACACACACACATATGGGCGCCACAATCCAGTAAGTAATGTACAGTATTTATTTATATGGCACATTTCACAGACACACAGCACTGGTCCATCAAAGCCTCCGACCAAACACCCTCCATTCATTACATTCAGACTATAGTACATGTTTTTAGTGGTAGGAGAAACCGGAGCACCTGGAGGAAACCTATGCAGACACAGGGAGAACATGCAAACTCCATACAGAAAGGTGTACACATACACATGCATACAATACAAAATAATACAAACGCACAAATACCTTGCAGACACACAAACATATATATCTTAATGTGGATATATCTATATACATGTACTTATAGATATAAAAATATAATTTATAGCAGGAGGAGAAGGAGGAGCAGGAGGTAGAGGCAGGAGTCCTGGCAGCTCCCTGTGGCAGATGGAGAACCACAGGCCTCTACTCACTACAGATCTGCATCAGACCGACCACAGACTCAGTCCTGGGTCTACAGCCTCAGTCCTGGGTCTACAGCCTCAGTCCTGGGTCTAAAGTCTCAGTCCTGGGTCTACAGCCTCAGTCCGGGGTCTACAGCCTCAGTCCTGGGTCTACAGCCTCAGTCCTGGGTCTACAGCCTCAGTCCTGGGTCTACAGCCTCAGTCCTGGGTCTACAGCCTCAGTCCTGGGTCTACAGCCTCAGTCCGGGGTCTACAGCCTCAGTCCTGGGTCTACAGCCTCAGTCCTGGGTCTACAGCCTCAGTCCTGGGTCTACAGCCTCAGTCCTGGGTCTACAGCCTCAGTCCTGGGTCTACGGTCTACAGCCTCAGTCCTGGGTCTACAGTCTCAGTCCTGGGTCTACAGCCTCAGTCCTGGGTCTACAGCCTCAGTCCTGGGTCTACAGCCTCAGTCCTGGGTCTACAGTCTCAGTCCTGGGTCTACAGCCTCAGTCCTGGGTCTACAGCCTCAGTCCTGGGTCTACAGCCTCAGTCCTGGGTCTACAGCCTCAGTCCTGGGTCTACAGCCTCAGTCCTGGGTCTACAGCCTCAGTCCTGGGTCTACAGCCTCAGTCCTGGGTCTACAGCCTCAGTCCTGGGTCTGCAGCCTCAGTCCTGGGTCTACAGCCTCAGTCCTGGGTCTGCAGCCTCAGTAGATAAAGTATATTTCTAAATCACAGCAGTCGTCTCAGAAGTCGATTCGTCACAGACAGATTAGAGAATCAAACCGTTCAAACAAAGAACACAATAATAACAAAAACAGAGCTGTTCATAAATGTCCTTAGACCTTTTTACGTTCGTCAGAAATTATTATAATTATTATAATTATAAAAACCCACAAACACAGACATTTACAACTTTAATCACAACAAGTCACTAACATAGATGAACCTTCAATATGAAACAAATCAGATTTAGTTTTTCCGCCATTTGCAGTAAAACCACAGTGGAATATTTGAGAAAAAGTCCCCAGTTTGCACCAGACACAAACAAGCTAAAAAGAAGAAACAATCGTCACCGTGACTTCTATCAACAGAAACCGCTTTGTTCCAACAGCTTCGACAGTGAAATATTATAATAATATATTAGTATATTATCATAATATTATAATAATATATAATCTGTGATTTAAGGTGGAGCCGAGTGATGTCAGGGCCTCACCTGTGTGTCCTGTGTGTCCTGGTGTTTCGCTCCTGTCGCTGCTGCAGCACCCTCCGATAAGCTCTGGTTCTCCTCTCGGTACCAAGCCCCAGTGCCCCCCCTGCCCCCCCTGCCCCGCCCTGCCCCCACCCCCCCTCTGCACATCACCATTGTTCTTAGCCATTCATAAATACAGAGGGTGACAAAGGGCTGCAGTGTTCGTCTGTGGGTGAGGCTCGGAGCTGCTGCTGTCTCTGCCCCGGACCCTGGTCTCGGACCCCTGGTCTTGGACCCTGGACCCTGGGTCTTTCTGTGAGGCCCCTGAGAGGGACAGGAAGTGACTGCTGAGGTTAAATATGAAAATCAGACATTCCTGAGCCTAACCCTGGACTTTTTGTGTTAATGTTTCCAAAGATGATGATCTCCAAATGTTTGGTTTGTTGTCGATAAAAATTAATTCCTTAAAATAATTCACAGGTTTTATATCATTTTCTCATCAAATTGGTGGTTTGTATAAAGTTTATTAGTCGACTGATCATAACAGAAAATAGATATATAAGAGAAGTATCCACATTCTTTACACTGCTCTAGAGTTATTCTCCACCAGGCAACAATACACCAAGAGCACAGGGACTGGCCTCCTGCTGGGACTCTGAGGAGCACAGGGACTGGCCTCCTGCTGGGACTCTGAGGAGCACAGGGACTGGCCTCCTGCTGCGACTCTGAGAGCACAGGGACTGGCCTCCTGCTGGGACTCTGAGGAGCACAGGGACTGGCCTCCTGCTGCGACTCTGAGGAGCACAGGGACTGGCCTCCTGCTGCGACTCTGAGAGCACAGGGACTGGCCTCCTGCTGGGACTCTGAGGAGCACAGGGACTGGCCTCCTGCTGGGACTCTGAGGAGCACAGGGACTGGCCTCCTGCTGGGACTCTGAGGAGCACAGGGACTGGCCTCCTGCTGGGACTCTGAGGAGCACAGGGACTGGACTCCTGCTGGGACTCTGAGGAGCACAGGGACTGGCCTCCTGCTGGGACTCTGAGGAGCACAGGGACTGGTCTCCTGCTGGGACTCTGTAATTATGGATCATTTAAACACAAATGAGATATTTTGGAAATGACTGTGGCCATAATCCTGAAAAGCCGCCTTTAAACCGCACTATAAAAAAACACTTTGTAGAATTCAAATAAAGAACAGTGACAAATGACACTTTGATTCTCAGGAAACAAATTAATGTAAACAACTGATCCTGCTTTTCTTTGTACGACTGCTTCATCCAAACCCTGATGCCACAGCAGCCCCGTCCTGCTGCTCAAACAGAGCCTTTAGATTTATGTTTGCTCCAGATTTAAGCCGCACAGAAACCAATACAGATTATAAAGATTATGTGTTTTATGTAGAAAATTAGAACCTGACACCGGCCCACATTGGTTCACACTGGCCCACACCGGCCCACACTGGCCCATATTGGCTCGCACTGGCCCACACCGGCCCACACCGGCCCGCACCGGCCCTCACCGGCCCTCACCGGCCCTCACCGGCCCTCACCGGCCCTCACCGGCCCTCACCGGCCCTCACTGGCTCGCACTGGCCCACACCGGCCCACACCGGCCCACACCGCCCCACACCGGCCCACACCGGCCCACACCGGCCCACACTGGCCCACACCGGCCCACACCGGCCCACACTGGCCCTCACTGGCTCGCACCGGCCCACACCGGCCCACACTGGCCCACACCGGCCCACACTGGCCCACACTGGCCCACACTGGCCTACACCGGCCCACACTGGCCCACACCGGCCCACATTGGCTCACACTGGCCCACACTGGCTCACACTGGCCCACACCGGCCCACACTGGCCCACACCGGCCCACATTGGCTCACACTGGCCCACACCGGCCCACATTGGCTCACACTGGCCCACACCGGCCCACACCGGCCCACACCGGCCCACACTGGCCCACACTGGCCCACACTGGCCCACACCGGCCCACACTGGCTCACACTGGCCCACACCGGCCCACACCGGCCCACACCGGCCCACACTGGCTCACACTGGCCCACACCGGCCCACACCGGCCCACACCGGGGAGTCCATGCTCCACATAATTGTCTTTAATCACCACAGTCTGCTTTCTGTGGCTGCAGTCGTTCGTCTTTGTCGCTGCTTTTCTGCAAACTCTGAAAGTGAAGAAAGTGGTGCCGCCTTCAGCTCGTTACAGACGATAATTAGTCTGAGTTCTTTTTGATTAACGGTAAATGTCTAATGGAGGAGCAGCGGCTGCAGCGTGGGCTACTATAGAAACCAATTCGACGGCGGTGATTCACGGACTAGATCGTTCTTGAGAATGAAATTAAATGAAACCTCTTGGTGGGTGTCTGTGCTCTACGAGTGCTGCTCTCGTGTAATACTGGTTTGTATTCCCCTCGTCAGAGATACAGTGGCCCCCGACAATAAAGCATTGTTTTGTACCATGTGACATCACTGAGCTGATCTGTGCAAATGTGGAGTTCAAGCAAGGCAGCACAGAAATTTACACGAACTGGAGGATTTTTCCCGAGAAGAATGGGCAGCTGTATTATCGACCACAGAAGACTCTGGGGATGAAGATTTCTGATCAGGGTCAGAGGAGTTATTGTTCATGTCTTAAAACTGTTAAAATCCTTATTTCAATAGAATAAAAACAATGTGGAAAAGGCTCGACCCAAATCTGACTTTTCTGAGTTTGTGTAAACCATCAGTGGGATCTTCATGGTTTCAGGAAACAGAACCTTCCGATCCTTTTTCAGATCAAAAAAGTAAACAATGCTTTTGATGAAGACGAGTTTGAAGTTGGTGTTTTCCTCGATCTGTCACAAACATTCGATACCATCGACTTTTCTGTGGAAACGTGAGCTTTATGGTGTCAGAGGCTTTATGGTGTCAGAGGCTTTATGGTGTCAGAGGCTTCATGGTGTCAAAGGCTTCATGGTGTCAGAGGCTTTATGGTGTCAGAGGCTTCATGGTGTCAGAGGCTTCATGGTGTCAGAGGCTTCATGGTGTCAGAGGCTTCATGGTGTCAGAGGCTTCATGGTGTCAAAGGCTTTATGGTGTCAGAGGCTTCATGGTGTCAAAGGATTTATGGTGTTCAGAAGATCTGAGAGAGAGCAATTTGTACAAATGAACAGCTGTAAAACGACCGTGGGGTTCCACAGGGTTCGACACTAGGGCCACTTCTTTTCATTACTTACATCAATGACAAATTCAACACATTTTACACAAAATAATGTTTGTACAAACTCAGTGTATAATATTCTCGTCTGTTAGAACTGGTCAGATAAAGATTTTTGTTTTCAGATCAACGACAGGATCTTAGAGTTCAACATACAACATGGTAAGACATGGGTACATTTCAAACACATGTCTTTACCTCCTGAGGCTCTCCCTAAACTACTCTCACATTATATGGAGCAACACGTCACAAACTATGAGTCATCACATGGTCTGCATCCACTGTTTTACCATTGAAACTGTTTGTTCCAACATTATGCACGACCAGGAGCCCCGAGAACCAACAAGCAGTCCATCTGAGACCACCGTCATCATCGTCGTCGTCGTCGTCGTCGTTGTCATCGTCGTCATCGTCATCATCATCGTCATCATCATCACCGTCATTATCATCACCGTCATTATCATCACCGTCATTATCATCGTCATCATCATCATCATCACCATCATCGTCGTCGTCGTCGTCGTCATCATCATCATCATCATCATCATCATCATCATCGTCATCATCACCGTCGTCATCGTCATCATCACCATCACCATCATCGTCATCATCGTCATCATCACCGTCATCGTCATCACCATCGTCATCACCATCGTCATCATCATCTTCATCATCATCACCATCGTCATCCTCATCGTCATCATCACCATCGTCATCATCACCGTCATCATCATCATCGTCATCGTCATCGTCATCATCATCATCATCATCGTCATCATCATCATCGTCATCATCATCATCACCATCGTCATCATCGTCATCATCATCACCGTCATCATCATCATCATCACCGTCATCATCATCATCATCATCATCACCGTCATCATCATCATCATCGTCATCATCACCGTCATCATCATCATCATCATCGTCACCGTCACCGTCACCGTCACCATCATCGTCATCATCATCATCATCGTCATCATCATCGTCATCATCATCATCACCGTCATCATCACCGTCATCATCATCATCATCGTCATCATCATCGTCACAATCATCATCATCATCGTCATCATCATCGTCATCACCATCATCATCGTCATCGTCATCATCATCGTCATCATCATCATCACCATCACCATCACCATCGTCATCATCATCACCATCGTCATCACCATCGTCATCGTCATCATCATCGTCACCGTCATCATCGTCACCGTCATCATCGTCACCGTCATCATCGTCACCGTCATCATCGTCACCGTCATCATCATCATCACCGTCATCATCGTCATCATCATCATCATCACCGTCATCATCATCGTCATCATCACCATCATCATCACCATCATCATCACCATCATCACCGTCATCATCATCGTCACCGTCATCATCACCGTCATCGTCATCATCACCATCACCATCATCATCATCGTCATCATCGTCATCATCATCATCGTCATCATCATCACCGTCATCATCATCATCACCGTCATCATCATCATCACAGTCATCATCGTCATCATCATCATCACCGTCATCATCATCGTCATCATCACCGTCATCATCATCGTCACCGTCATCATCATCATTACGTCATCATCATCATCATCACCGTCATCATCATCATCACCGTCATCATCATCGTCATCATCATCATCATCTGTAACAGGGATGATGTGATCTATGATGTCGCATGTTTGCTGTAATGGATAACTCTGTAAAGTCTATTAGACTGAAACCTGCTAAATGGAAATGTTTAGAAATGTGTTTGATAAAAGTATAAATGACACATTTAGTTTTGGTTAATGCAGCTTCATGAGAGTTTCACAAAACACCAACTTTACAAATACAGTGTGTAGAATGAAAGAGTTAAATTGAATGCATATGAAAACAGAAAAACACAACAATGAGTAGAAAGGTTTTAGCGTCATCCTTTATGAAAACTCTGAATTATCACATTCCAACGATTCCAACGTGAAGGAAAACTGTCGTGAGGCTGAATAAATATGACTCAGTGGAGAATCAGGGACTTGTTTGGCAGCGATGGACGGTGGCTGAAGATGGACAAACAGGGACATTGTTGGGGGTGTATGGGGGGGGTATGGGGGGGGCAGGGACAGAACAACAGCCTGAGAACAGCACCATTGTCTCCGCACATTTTAAATGCAGTGACGCAAACACGGAGCTCTGACTTTAATGACTCGGTGCAAAGATGTCTTTAGAACATTCTGTGTTCATGATGGAGTCAGGCTGTGAGCAGGGACTAGAGGCCACTCCTGGTACTGCAGCGCCCACACAGCAGAGTCATGCTGTGAGCGGGGACTAGAGGCTACTCCTGGTACTGCAGCGCCCACACAGCAGAGTCAGGCTGTGAGCGGGGACTAGAGGCCACTCCTGATACTGCAGCGCCCACACAGCAGAGTCATGCTGTGAGCGGGGACTAGAGGCCACTCCTGGTACTGCAGCGCCCACACAGCAGAGTCAGGCTGTGAGCGGGGACTAGAGGCCACTCCTGGTACTGCAGCGCCCACACAGCAGAGTCAGGCTGTGAGCGGGGACTAGAGGCCACTCCTGGTACTGCAGCGCCCACACAGCAGAGTCAGGCTGTGAGCGGGGACTAGAGGCCACTCCTGATACTGCAGCGCCCACACAGCAGAGTCATGCTGTGAGCGGGGACTAGAGGCCACTCCTGATACTGCAGCGCCCACACAGCAGAGTCATGCTGTGAGCGGGGACTAGAGGCCACTCCTGGTACTGCAGCGCCCACACAGCAGAGTCAGGCTGTGAGCGGGGACTAGAGGCCACTCCTGATACTGCAGCGCCCACACAGCAGAGTCATGCTGTGAGCGGGTACTAGAGGCCACTCCTGGTACTGCAGTGCCCACACAGCAGAGTCAGGCTGTGAGCGGGGACTAGAGGCCACTCTTGGTACTGCAGCGCCCACACAGCAGAGTCAGGCTGTGAGCGGGGACTAGAGGCCACTCCTGGTACTGCAGCGCCCACACAGCAGAGTCAGGCTGTGAGCGGGGACTAGAGGCCACTCCTGGTACTGCAGCGCCCACACAGCAGAGTCATGCTGTGAGCGGGGACTAGAGGCCACTCCTGGTACTGCAGCGCCCACACAGCAGAGTCAGGCTGTGAGCGGGGACTAGAGGCCACTCTTGGTACTGCAGCGCCCACACAGCAGAGTCAGGCTGTGAGCGGGGACTAGAGGCCACTCCTGGTACTGCAGCGCCCACACAGCAGAGTCAGGCTGTGAGCGGGGACTAGAGGCCACTCTTGGTACTGCAGCGCCCACACAGCAGAGTCAGGCTGTGAGCGGGGACTAGAGGCCACTCCTGGTACTGCAGCGCCCACACAGCAGAGTCCATGCTGTGAGCGGGTACTAGAGGCCACTCCTGGTACTGCAGCGCCCACACAGCAGAGTCAGGCTGTGAGCTGGGACTAGAGGCCACTCCTGGTACTGCAGCGCCCACACAGCAGAGTCAGGCTGTGAGCGGGGACTAGAGGCCACTCCTGGTACTGCAGCGCCCACACAGCAGAGTCAGGCTGTGAGCAGGGACTAGAGGCCACTCCTGGTACTGCAGCGCCCACACAGCAGAGTCAGGCTGTGAGCGGGGACTAGAGGCCACTCCTGGTACTGCAGCGCCCACACAGCAGAGTCAGGCTGTGAGCGGGGACTAGAGGCCACTCCTGGTACTGCAGCGCCCACACAGCAGAGTCAGGCTGTGAGCGGGGACTAGAGGCCACTCCTGATACTGCAGCGCCCACACAGCAGAGTCAGGCTGTGAGCGGGGACTAGAGGCCACTCTTGGTACTGCAGCGCCCCACACAGCAGAGTCAGGCTGTGAGCGGGGACTAGAGGCCACTCCTGGTACTGCAGCGCCCACACAGCAGAGTCAGGCTGTGAGCGGGGACTAGAGGCCACTCTTGGTACTGCAGCGCCCACACAGCAGAGTCATGCTGTGTGAGGACTAGAGGCCACTCCTGGTACTGCAGCGCCCACACAGCAGAGTCATGCTGTGTGAGGACTAGAGGCCACTCATGGTACTGCAGCGCCCACACAGCAGAGTCAGGCTGTGAGCTGGGACTAGAGGCCACTCTTGGTACTGCAGCGCCCACACAGCAGAGTCATGCTGTGTGAGGACTAGAGGCCACTCCTGGTACTGCAGCGCCCACACAGCAGAGTCATGCTGTGTGAGGACTAGAGGCCACTCATGGTACTGCAGCGCCCACACAGCAGAGTCATGCTGTGTGAGGACTAGAGGCCACTCATGGTACTGCAGCGCCCACACCTACTGGACCCCACAGACCTCAGTTTTCTTTAAAACAGACCTGAACTTTTTTCTATTAAAATCTATTGGTTTTCTATAAATCCACACATCTCTGGTCTCTCTCTCTGGTAAGTTATTTTTTTTATATAGCGCATTTTGAAGACCAAGGTTTGGACCCAAAGCACTTTACAAAGGTCACACATGGTGATAAAGCGAGACCTGAACACACTGGTCCATCAAAGCCTCTGACCAAACACCATCCATTCACTCGCTCTCGGGTCTCTCTCGGGTCTCTCTCTGGTCTCTCTCTCTCTGGTCTCTCTCTCTCTGGTCTCTCTCTCTCTGGTCTCTCTCTCTCTGGTCTCTCTCTCTCTGGTCTCTCTCTCTCTCTGGTCTCTCTCTCTCTGGTCTCTCTCTCTCTGGTCTCTCTCTCTGGTCTCTCTCTCTGGTCTCTCTCTCTGGTCTCTCTCTCTGGTCTCTCTCTCTGGTCTCTCTCTCTGGTCTCTCTCTCTGGTCTCTCTCTCTGGTCTCTCTCTCTGGTCTCTCTCTCTGGTCTCTTTCTCTGGTCTCTCTCTCTGGTCTCTCTCTCTGGTCTCTCTCTCTGGTCTCTCTCTCTGGTCTCTCTCTCTGGTCTCTCTCTCTGGTCTCTCTCTCTGGTCTCTCTCTGGTCTCTCTCTGGTCTCTCTCTGGTCTCTCTCTGGTCTCTCTCTGGTCTCTCTCTGGTCTCTCTCTGGTCTCTCTCTCTGGTCTCTCTCTCTGGTCTCTCTCTCTGGTCTCTCTCTCTGGTCTCTCTCTCTGGTCTCTCTCTCTGGTCTCTCTCTCTGGTCTCTCTCTCTGGTCTCTCTCTCTGGTCTCTCTCTCTCTCTGGTCTCTCTCTCTCTGGTCTCTCTCTGACTTCTTTGTTCAAATCCAAACAGTTGTTTTGCTGCTTTATTTAATTTAATAGAACTATAACGATAATCAAATAAAAAACAAACTCATTTCAGAATAATAAAGAAACATCTTCGATCAATCCATTTTTAGTCCGTTACAAACTTACGCTTTACAATAAAATCACATCAAAGAATAAAAGTTAAAAAGCATTAAATAAATCTAATCATTTTGAGACGAATAAACTTCATTGATCTTTGAGAAATGTAAGAAATATACTTTATAATAAATGTAGAAACTTACTGGAAATACATGATGTCCATCTGCATCATTCATAAACCTTAGAGCTGATCATAAAGAGTCTTACCGTAGGCGCTGGTGTGAAGCTGTGTGTAGCTGCGGCAGAGTGGTTAGCAGAGGTCTCTCCCTCTCTCTCTCCTCTGTGAGCAGATGGGAGAGCTGTGGCAGAGTGGTTAGCAGAGGTCTCTCCCTCTCTCTCTCCTCTGTGAGCAGATGGGAGAGCTGTGGCAGAGTGGTTAGCAGAGGTCTCTCTCTCTCTCCTCTGTGAACAGATGAGAGAGCTGTGGCAGAGTGGTTAGCAGAGGTCTCTCTCTCTCTCTCTCCTCTGTGAGCAGATGGGAGAGCTGTGGCAGAGTGGTTAGCAGAGGTCTCTCTCTCTCTCTCTCCTCTGTGAACAGATGAGAGAGCTGTGGCAGAGTGGTTAGCAGAGGTCTCTCTCTCTCTCCTCTGTGAACAGATGAGAGAGCTGTGGCAGAGTGGTTAGCAGAGGTCTCTCTCTCTCTCTCTCCTCTGTGAACAGATGAGAGAGCTGTGGCAGAGTGGTTAGCAGAGGTCTCTCTCTCTCTCCTCTGTGAGCAGATGGGAGAGCTGTGGCAGAGTGGTTAGCAGAGGTCTCTCCCTCTCTCTCCTCTGTGAGCAGATGGGAGAGCTGTGGCAGAGTGGTTAGCAGAGGTCTCTCTCTCTCTCTCTCCTCTGTGAACAGATGAGAGAGCTGTGGCAGAGTGGTTAGCAGAGGTCTCTCCCTCTCTCTCCTCTGTGAGCAGATGGGAGAGCTGTGGCAGAGTGGTTAGCAGAGGTCTCTCTCTCTCTGTGGCAGATGGGAGAGCTGTGGCAGAGTGGTTAGCAGAGGTCTCTCCCTCTCTCTTTTCTGTGAGCAGATGGGAGAGCTGTGGCAGAGTGGTTAGCAGAGGTCTCTCTCCTCTGTGAGCAGATGGGAGAGCTGTGGCAGAGTGGTTAACAGAGGTCTCTCTCTCTCTGTGGCAGATGGGAGAGCTGTGGCAGAGTGGTTAACAGAGGTCTCCCTCCCTCTCCTCTGTGAGCAGATGAGAGAGCTGTGGCAGAGTGGTTAAGCAGAGGTCTCTCTCTCTCTGTGGCAGAGTGGTTAGCAGAGGTCTCTCTCTCTCTGTGGCAGATGGGAGAGCCTCCACCACCAGGACGTCTGTCGCTATTTAACAAAACTGACAAATGCACAGTGTTAGAAACAACTGTGTGTGTGTGTGTGTGTGTGTGTGTGTGTGTGTGTGTCTGTGTGTGTGTGTGTGTGTGTGTGTGCACTTGTTTTCAACTCCTGGTGGGTTCCATAACCTGAGATTCCACTCACGTCATGGGGACTGGTTTTACGTGGTGGGGCCCGAACACCGGACCCCACTGGTCCAAGCTTAATAATCAATGGGTAATGCTTTTCTAACGGTCCTTATGCAGTCTCTGTAAAAATATGGAAAGGACCCCTGGAGGTTTACTTTCCTGAAAAAAGTGTGTTCTGTGTCGGAACCCTGGTGGTGGGTTGCGGGATATCAAGGAGGGGCACACTGGGGCAATTTCAGTCCAGCAGGCTGGAGCCAATCATGGAGCAGCACAACAGAGGAAATCAGGTGTCAGGCTAGAAAAAGGTGCAAGTGTGTGGTTCATTAGGCTGCAAGAAATCATGGAGGAGCACACTGAAGCGCACGCTTACAAACCACTGGTAAGTGCTGACTACAAGTCATGACTTCAAATTGTTATATAGAATTATTACTAATTATTTGTTGTTTGTGCAGCTTAGTCAAGAGTCCCTAATTGATGAAGTCGACTCAGATTCTGACGATTTAACTGTCAAGAAGAAACCTGTAAAAAAGTATGGAAAAAGAAAAATCAAAAACACTTTTCTTCAAGACTCGGAAAGTGAGGAACCAAAGGCAAATAAGATTGTTATCATGCAGCTGCAAAAGAAGAAAAATGGGGGGCGAGTTTACAGCAAGAGACACTTCTGCCTCTACTGTTCAATGTCCTGCCACAAAATGTCCCGTCATTTGACTAGAAAACATGGAAATGAAAGTGACGTAGCCAGAACATTGGCTCTACCTGTGAAATCTAAAGCACGTAAACTTCAGTTTGATTTGATCAGGAATAGTGGAAACCGTGAGCACAATTTTGAGGTTTTAAAGGCCGGCATTGGAACTTTAGTCCCAGCTAAACAGCCAAATTCCCCAGTTAAATCCAGTGAGTTTTTGCACTGTATAGACTGTGGGGCATTGTGTGGAGGCATGTGGCCAGGTGCCGGCTTTCACAGAAAGATGCCCAGGCTAAACCAGGTAGAAGTAGGGTCCAGTCCCTCTGCTCCCTAGCCCAGCCTGTACCGGAGGGCATCAGCAAAAAGCTGTGGTCTTTAATTTCGGCAATGCATCAGGATGAGGTCACGGGTGTTGTCAAAGCAGAAAAGGGGATTCTGAGACTCGGAGAGCACCTGTACTTAAAACACGGGCATGATAAGACTAAGCATGATTACATTAGGCACAAAATGAGAGAAGTCGGTAGGTTAATTAACGAAGCAAAAACTGCAAGGAAACTGAAAACAATTAAGGATTTCTTTATTCCTTCCAACTTTAACCATGTGATTGATGCAGTCAGGTCTGTGGCTGGATATGATGAGGAAACAAATCAATACAAGACTCCATCCTTGGCCCTCAAACTCGGCCATAGCCTCAGAAAGCTAGCAGATATTCTTGAATGTGACTCAAAAATGGAGCATTGTGTTGATGAACTATTTATTAAAAACCTCCAACGAAGCCGGCTGCTTTTTGAGAAGAGGTGGGACGTCTGTGTTTCTTCTGCTGCCCTACAGACCCTCCGGCAAGCCAAGTGGAACACTCCGGACCTGCTCCCTCTGACTGAGGACGTTAGAGCCATGCATGCACATATTGAGGTATGTCGACCTGAATATGTGCAAACCCTAATAAGTGAGCCAACGTCTAAGCATTGGTCTAAACTGGCAGTTTTGACTCTTTGTGAGGTCATCATTTTCAATCGAAGAAGGGAAGGTGAGGTTTCAAAGATGCCACTGACAGCCTTTACCTTAAGAAGTAAGACTGGGATCCATTCTGACATTGCTCTGGGACTGTCCCAACTTGAGAAAAAGCTGTGTCAGCATTTTCAACGCATTGAAATTAAAGGGAAAAGAAGTGGGAAAGTGGTGGTTCTTTTGACTCCTGAAATGATTGCTTGGATGGAGGTGCTGGTGGAGAACAGAAGGGCCTGTTCCATCTCTGACCATAACCCATACTTCTTTTCCCGCCCGGGCGCAGACACCCACATCAGGGGATCAGACTCCCTACGCCAGGTAGCCAAAGAATGTGGTGCGGTGCATCCAGAGATGCTATCCTCAACCAAACTTAGAAAGCACATAGCTACTATGTCTACAGTTCTCAATATGAAAGAGAATGAGATGGACATACTTGCCAACTTCCTCGGCCATGACATTCGCATCCACAGACAATATTACAGACTACCAGAGGGGACACTGGAGCTGGCCAAAATCAGCAAAGTGTTGATGGCCATGGAGCAGGGAAGAGTGACGGAATTCGAAGGAAAGAGCCTCGACCAGATACAAATTGAGCCTGAAGGTAATTCTTGATATTATTAAAATATGTATGATTTTTTTCCCCTAAAGGCCACTTGTATTTTTATTTTCTGTGCGACAGGGAGAGCAATAGAGATCCTCTCACAAACGGACGGGCTAAAAGAAACTTCAAGCGGAGAACCTTCAACCATTCATCCAGATGCACCCCATGGTAGTGGCAGTGCCCCTTCTGGTAAGTGTACCAGGTGGGGGATTACAGCCAGGCTGCTTGGTCCTCACCCTGGGAGTGTATATTGCTAATATATTTTTATTTCTCTCCCTAGAACGTTAGAGAAAGCCATGGTCTGCATCTGAGGTGAAGGCTGTGGAGAAGACCATGACACCTTTCATACAGACTGGAAAGGTCCCTGGGAAGTCTCACTGCCTGGCCTGCATTAATGCCTCACCAGATGACCTTAGACATCGGACATGGAGTGGCATTAAATTCTATGTCAAAAATAGAATCACTGCAATTCGAAAAAAAAATCTAAAATAAAATTCCTTTAAAAGAGTTGTTTGTTTTCTATTGACTGTTTTGTTTTACTTAAAGTATTCCCAGTAAAAAAAGATTATGTCTATGGGTCCCATTCTGAACGGCCCTGTCAAAGGGACCCACCAGGTAACAAAAACGTGTATGTATGTGTGTGTGTGTGTGTGTGTGTGTTTGAAAACCATGGACATATATCAATATACTAGCTTATAGCTGTCTCACCAATGGCCACAAGGGGTGCTGTGGAACTACTGAGCACAAGCCGTTCATTTTATGAGGGCGCCATCTTGGATCACTGGGACTTATATTTTATTTTTTATTTTTTTTATTGAACAAATCAGACAGGCCAATTTCAGTTTCGCGCCATATAAAAAACAAAAGAACAGAACAAGAACATAGAAAGCCACATTACTGAGTCACTAGGGTCAGAAGTAAATTCACAATATTTTCATACAATCAAATTGCTTTCTTTGAATTACACAGAGTACCTAAAGATTGACAATTCGCTCAAAAATATCTTTATATATAAGATATATAAATATAAATATAAACAAGGGTTTGGAATGACTAAATTTACATTTGTGAATGAAAAATACAGCCATGAGAATACAATTGTTAATTGTACATTCTTTGTTTTTGTCTTCCAATAAGACTCCAAATTGAATGTAATGATAATTAAAGTCCATAAAACCTAAAGTAACAGAAACTATCCCAAAATATATGTGAAAAAAGCTGTTCCTCTGTTTCAATATTGGTATCGCAAAAAACACACATTATCGTCAATATTGAATTTGGAATGTAAAGTTCTTTGCACGGGTTAGGGTTAGGGTTAGGGTTAGGGTTCTCTGAAGTCTAACATAAAGACTGAAGTCTAACATAAAGACTGAAGTCTAACATAAAGACTCTCTGAAGTCTAACTTAAAGACTGAAGTCTAACTTAAAGACTGAAGTCTAACTTAAAGACTGAAGT